CAATACAAAGCTCTACTTTATAAGAAGAGGACTATACAGCTTACAGTCTAGACTAGTTTAGAAAACTTATAAAGAGCTATTAAAAGTTATAGAGAAAGAACTAAAAAGTATAATAATACAGTAAGAAGGAACTAGAAGGTTAATCTAGAATACAAAAAGACACAAACTAGTGTATAATCTAGCCTGAAGGATTATTCAGCTCTACTTTATAAGAAAGAGAAGGAACTCTTGAGAAAAGAGTTACAAAGTTACTAGAGTAATATTACTCTAACAAAAGGTATATAAGAAGAGTAGTTTAACTCTCTTAAAGTAGTTTTATCAACTTAAGCTACTTAGTAGTAACAGTACTCTAGTACTAACTACTAAGTTACACTTAAAGCTTAACTAAAGTAGAACTCCTCTACCTCTAACTCTATAAGCTAAAGTCTTACTAATATACTCTATTTTTCTTTACTACTCTTAAGGACAAGACTAGTAAAGTAAGTATATCTAACATTATAAAACATATATTCAGTACTTAGAGAGCTTGTGTATTAGGCAAAACTACTATTTTCTTTGTGTGAGCTTAGAATCTTGTAGTCTTGTTTGATAAGCTGATATGTATTTTAGTAGTACTTCTAAGCACTTTTATAATTCTACTATTCCCTTTCAAATTCTTTGTATAGTTACTCTACTATAGTCTGTATTGGATAATCACTCATGTGTGTTACTTTCTAGGGTTTTTGCCTTCACCTGAAGTATAACCCTTACTTGAATGACTTCTTCAACCATTCTGTATTGTACACATATACAAGTTATTTAAAAGTTTCTATATATCTTACTAATACTTACAGTTTTGTAACTTGATCTTACTTACAATTTTTCTTTACATTTTAAATAATGTCTTAATTTACTCCTCCAGTTCTCTAATACTTTACTACAAAACTTTGGCTTGACATAACTAACTGGCATCAATTATGTATTCCTTTAGTAAAGCTTATACTTAAGTATTGTTCTCTACTAAGTTGTGTGTCTGATGCAGAAATGTGTCACTAGTAACAAATACTGTATTGCCTTTTGTTATATAGTAACACACAGTATATCATGTTACAACCTTTGAACTCTTTGTTCCTTAAGTATGTAAAGACATGGAAGCAGATCTGTTGCTACCCTCTATTATATAAGGGGAATAAAGGGCTATTATTGAAAGTGTACACTAGTGACAGTATTTACAATTTGCTTCACTATTTAGTGTTAGATCAGGAACACCCACTAGGCATGTGTTCCTACAAGACTTCTTTCAGTATGTTGAAGACCTTTTCAAGCTGTCCCTTTGTTCTTAATTGCTACACTCAACCTTCCTACTTGGATGTATTTCATAATTGTTTTAATGAGTCTCACACACTCTAGCCTTGGACATAAGTTCACCACACTAACTTTTACTCCAAACTTACACAGTATGATCAAATTCTGGATCCATATTACAAAAGTGTTGCTAGGAAGTTTATGTTATAATAGTATAATGTGTATTAGTCAACCAATGTATCCTTTGTGCCTTCACATTCACAAGTCCAGAATGCTATAAGTAAAGCAAATCAAGAAATCTGCTAGTAAATACATGGAGCAAGGGCCATTCATTGTTAAGAAAAAACACCAACCCTTTACAACACATTGAACTGTAAGCTTATAGAGTATATGTAGTACAGTAGTGTAGTACTAACCTTATATTCCTAAAGTTCATTCATAGTTGCTGCTACTTGACTCTCTAATCACTTTAGAACACATGAATGTTTCAAAACAAGAAGTGTCTGAGTAGTAAGTATCTGGAGATATATAAGCTCTTCCCTTCAGTTGATTTGGTAGTAGTAGTGTGTGAATGCATTTTCCAGAAATCAACAAATATTGTTTAGAGAACAATGTCTTACACTAATGTCCCTCTTTAAATTTACTAGTATGTTTGAGTTCTGTCAATTTATTATTTTGTAATTAGATGCAAAACTTATCTATTAGCTCACACTCACACACTTGTAATGTTTGTCAGAGTCAACATCCTTAACTTGATAAACAGCTAAGAAGGATCCATCCCCTAATCTATATGATTCTTTCTAGCTAATACTGTAGTAAAATCTCCCTATTCTTGCCAGATCCTTGACTGTCTAAGGCCTAGAGTTTCAAAGAGAATACTAATTGAACAGAAGATTGAGAAACTTTTGAAAGTAAGTACCTACCTTTCTTGTATAGAATTTTGAACTGATTATTAATTACATAGTACTATAGTCAAGAGTGCAATTTATGAGCAAGAGTGTTTTTGAGGGAGAAAGCCTAGGATCATAATTTACTAGAGTTCTACAGCTTTTTGGAAAGCTATGAATACAGTATCTTACTAGTATTTGTTTGTAAGTTTTATGAATTAGGAGACATAAGGACACACATTAGTAAGTAAGCTTAGCTATTACTGTCCATGAGACAGAAGCTTTATCTTGTATGTTCTCACCTTGATTTCAACTTGAAATTAGAATTGCTGTAATCATGCTTGTCTTTTTGTACATTACAAAAAAGTCTTAAGTATTATACTTGCTTATAATCTTGTATATTTTGTATATTTTATAAAATTTGGCCAATTACTTATAATCTTCCTGGGGGGTTAAGTAATGATAGTACAATGTTAGATAAGTAAGTAAGAATACTTTTAAAACTTGGCAATTTCTATTATAATTTTATAAATTGTCAAGTTATAAAAGTAATTATAACACTTTCTAAGATTACAAGACTAAGACATACTTATTTATTTGAGAAAGTATAATATCTGCTTATAATGCTTATAGGTTATTACAAGCATTTGAATGGTTTGCTTTTACTTAGTATACAATTTTGTATCAAATAATTAATCAAATATAATTATATTTAAATTATAGAATACAAAAATAGTAATTAATACATTATTTCTACAATCCTAACCCCTGTACTACTAGCTGCCTCTGCCTTGTTCTTTTACAAGCAGAATTTGTGACAATAAAGGATTAATGTGTTCTTAGACTGTTTAATATAGTCTTTGTCACCAGGCCTTAATTGTCACTCAGTCTCTGTAAGTTGAATTAGGTATGTGTGTGAGTTGTAAGGCTAAGCAGGTTGTAGAGGGTGAGCCTGAGCCTAAGACAGGTTTAGAGCAATTAGTAAGTGACAATAAGAAAGAAAAGATAGATGCATAGTAACAGTGTATAGCAAGTGTGAGTAGTACATACAAATTAAGATCTGGAGTATTGAATGAGCTGATTCAGACTGTAGACAAAACTGTGTTTGTGTGTATACACTGTATAGTTTATCTATAGTGTCTAATAGAAGATATAGTAAACTGAGTCATCAATTGTAAGGTGTATCTCTAGAACATTCTGGCTCAAAAGGTGAAGGTAAAGTGGAAGGCAGACAGACTCAGCTCAGGTAGAGAGTAGTGGGTCACTGCTTCTGTTTAAAATAGTGTTATACACAGTACTAGAGAATGTAAATACACACAGTATGAACTTATTAAGAGTAATGTCAAGTCAAGCATATAATGGGTGGGGAAGGAATGTGTGTGTAAGGTTGGAGAGAAGATTGTACCTTGAAAATGGTGGTACATAAATATTGTTGTAAGTGTGTACTTACTGATTGTTGCTTGTGTTACTGAGTAGGAAGAAGTATGCAAATGTATGAAATTATTGAAGAAGTTGTTCAGTATTGGTCAACAATACAGATGTACAAATGTAGCTGTAAAAAAGAAGGTGAGCATAATAAAAAGGAGGACAACAAAGGAGAGGCAACATAAGAGGCAGAGTGAGGAGTAGGAGGGATGAAAGGGAGACAAGAAGTTAGGAGGAGAGGGATGAGCAGCTATTGTGTAAAGCATTTTATAAAGTAGACTAGCTACTTACACTTTATACTGAAGGACAGTATAGCCAGCTGGGTTGTGTTATCACAGGATCTGAGGCTCAGTGTAAGCATTACAGTAGCAGATTAGAGAGACAAATGTAGTAATATTTATTGTCTAGATGGTTGTAGACAGTGTGCCTGCTGGAGGATGCTTGTAGGTAGAGTACTAAACTAGAGAGGACAAAAGTAACAACATAGTGTTAGGGGAAGAGGGTTGAGGGAGATGGTGGAGGTAGGAGGAAAGGAGTAACAAGAGTAAGTGTATCATTATATGCTCTTGATCTTCAGTACTAGATTATGTAATCACTTCGATATATTGTTTAAAGTAAAATCAAGTTATATTATAAGTTTAACATAGTGATTGTTAACAATATTAATATATATAATTACATATTATCTTACTAAAAGTATTGTAATTAACTTACAAGCACAATGTATTACTTTTATAACTATTATAATCAACCAACTATTGTTACAAATAACTTATAATATAATTTTTACAAGTTATAATGAGAGTTGAGTACTTGTACCTCACATGTAATATTATAATAATACTAGTAGTAAGCTTACTTGCTTTAAAACATGCTTGTAGTTTAGTAGAAACCTTGTATATTTCTTACATTTATATATAATCATTAGTATTGTATTACAAGTAAAATATAATTATTAATTTAAATTGTTATGCTTATGAAATCATTTTATTAGATTACTTTTGCTATTATTAAATACATTTGTTACGACTTTTTCGTGATGTAGGTCAGCAATATAGCAGAAGCTCTCTCCTTTAGTCTGTAATCCTCTAATATATTACATTCCGTGACCTGATAGTTGTTATCTAGTGCATATAGTTTGTGGAGTTGCTTTTAGTATTCATAAGTGCAATATTATTCTGATGTTAACCACAGTCAAACGTCCTGCTGGATTTGCAAGAACAATGCATATTTGGAATTCTCGGAGACTTTGGATCTGCGAAAGAGTTCAAGCATGATACACAATGGCAAATATCTTCGTCATCAGAATCAGGAAACGACTGCTAGTCTCCTCTGGAATATAGCTACGAAGGAGGGTTTCATAACAATACAGGTGAGGGTGATATTTGGTCGCTAGGTTGCACTATGCTGGAGGTATGATGCAAGCTTGACTAGAAGTAGTATATCAGAAACCTAATGCACTATTATTTGTCAGTTGTTGCAGGAAGCCGACCCTTGGTATAATATTGCTGAGGGCGATATACCTGAGAAAATCATGGCTCATGAATTCCAACCAAAACCTGCCATTATCTCTGTAGAGCATTATGAGATCATGAAGAAGTGCTGGAAGAAGGCTGGTGAGAGGCCAAGTGCATTGGAGATGCATGCTGGGATTGTTCAGCTGGTGGAGAATTGTGATTCTTAGGATATGTCCAAATCTCTCATGCATCTTACACATTTGTGTATTTCAAGTTTCAACAATGGAAAATAGAACCTTCTGTGCACTGATATAGCCCTGGTTAATTCTATGGTCTGAATGTTGCTTTGCCAAAGGAGGTACTAAACGGTTTAACGGTAGTGTTCCTGTTAACATATATGGAATGACGCATATAAGCAACGGACGTACCCGAGACATAGCTACATATTATATATACCTACTGAATCAACGGACAATGACGCAAAAAAGGAGAGCGAGCCGAGTCCACTATCCCCCCTCTTTGTGTGATCCCTCTAAGCCTCTCACATAACCCCTCTCAACAGTTCCCAACCAGCAGTAGAGCCACTCTGCCACTCTCTTTGGCAGAAAATTTGTATGTCCATCCGATTGTGATACTTTCTGCACGCAGTGGCATGCTCTTGCCGAGTTTTCTCCTCCAATAATGCTGTGGCACCTTTGAAGCTACTTCGGTAAATCTTTGAGCAAAGAGGCAAACAGTGCAGTCAGAACTCAGAAGAGGTGGCATATAATAATCTCAGGGACAGGTACAAACCCCATCGACCAGGCACTGGTGCACATTTGCTATTTTCTGGTGCGCCAAACCTTCTCGATCACCCCTGTCAAAGTTACTCCCCGCAAGAGCTTCTACGAGTAGTGCATTTCCATCCATAAGAACTCTCAATACATCTCATACTTTGTCTTGCAGCAAGTGTCGAAGGAGTCTCTCAATAGGTTTCAATGGGCAATCGAATAAATATGGCCAATGGATGCTTCTTCATATGCACTTATTCGGAAAAAAGATACGAAAGCGGATTGAAGTGCTGATTCTCGTCAAAACTCATACCATCTATTTTCATGACGATCAAGAAATACTTTGAAGTATCTTTGATGAACACTGCAGTACTCGGCAGCTTCGCACTTCTTCCCAAGTAGGGGATGTTCGCAGTTTACCCAATCCTTAAAGAGGTGCCTCATCGTTTCGGGCGCAACTACTATCCTCTATCCCTAATGTCAAACCTCCTTGGACCGGAAACTTCACTTTCTGAAGCTATTGAACTTTTCAAGCTGGTTGTAGCTGATCATCAGGCAGCGAACGTGAGTTCTTTGCATCTCTATCGTTATACGCGTCCCAACCACGACATTTTGATAACAGTATGTTGAAAGTACATGTCTCTGCTGACTGTAGTGCGGATTGCAATATTCTCATATACGTTTTGTAGTCGTAGCGCTTTCTATAATGTTTTATGACAATTTATTAACTTTCCCACAGTACGTTCGGCATCACCTTCGTCGCGTTGTTGACTAATTTATTCTTTCAGAGAGGCAAGAAACGTCATAATCTGATATATGCTATTATTTTCGAGCTTTACTACATAGGTTTCTATCATGTGGAGCTCAAATTGGTCAAAGGGGAAAATCCTATTTCTTCTCACTCGATGGCCCGTTATTATCGAGGCCGTAATGTACTTAATTTGTACGTATTCATTCCAGATTCTAGCGCTTCATATCCACTGATAAGGACTTACGACCATCTACCCACATGTCTAGTCACAACGGACTATTCTCTTCCCTTAGCAGTACGTGACTCAGCTAACTCAAGTTCGCCGCTTACATTTTAATTAGTTGTGAGTGTCACGAACGACCTGAATACAAACATTGAGTGAGTAAAGCAGCTGCAAAGTCGAAGTCAACCTGGCAAGTTGGTAAGCCACGATTCGTGATTCTACTAACAAGTACTGACAATTCTATCATAGGGGAGTTATGATATTTTTAATTCCTTTGCAAAGTGCACAAAGGCTTCCACAATACTTGCATCCTGTTCCTGATTGGGACGTTTCTAGTCGTCATTGTTCTTAGGACGATAGCGTTGTGGAACGATAAGCGCTTTGTCCTATATCTCCTGACAGGTTCTGCACTAGTGAGGATTCACTTTACACTGACTACTTGAAGCTAAATAAGATCCATAGGCTACAGACTTCGCTTTCTTAGGACTAATTACCAACGTTTCTAAGAACGAAATACACTGTAGATACACTTTTCCAGACCAGATAGCCGGCTAACTTCAAACGTTTCCAGTCTCACAGGATCCCGAGCTGACGCCGTTGTTTGGCTGTTATGCCGACATCACGACATTTGACCCAAAGGTATCGACGGGTGGTTGGAGTGCATTTATGGTTTTCGACTTTACGATCTTCTTTCTTACACTTGTCCGTGCCCTGAGAACAGGCAAGTCCATCCTTGGTTTTCTGAAAACGGATGTCTAAGGACAGGATGAATATTCACAGCTAAGTATGAGCGCACGCCTCTGCTGAGGATTCTCATTGTTGATGGTTTCATCTACTACTGTGTCATGCTTGGTACGTTTATCCAAATACTGTAAAATAACGGAATTAACGCTCTCGCAATCCAGTCATCAGCATCCTCGCGCTTACTTTTTCGATCGCACTCGCGCCAAGAAGAGAGATACTTCTTGTCATGATTCCGCCGATATTCAAGGCATGTTATTGTATACTCGGAAGTCGAATTGCTCTTCGTCTACGACAATCTGTCGCACAGGAAGTCATTGGCACTTGGAAGAATGTTACACCTCATGAATCTAGAGACAGGGAAGACGTCGAGCTGTCTACGCTTAACGTCGCAAGCAGAAGCCAGGGGTCAGAGGCCTTAAGCTCTGGAGCAACGTACGCATTCGATGGCGGAGCCGTGAACATGCCTTAAGTGCAATCAATGGACTCTTTACTTACTTACATACTGGCAAAGTCAGGGGTGCTTTGGTGACTTCGTATGCCCAATATGAGCAGGGAGAGTCCTGCAAGTTCCTTGACGCATAATATCTCACATTCAGGTCTGGCAAAATGTTAGAGCGAAAGAATGCAGAGCAATATATTGACCAAGCGTTTGAGCTTATTCCCAGTCCTATAAAACAGACAGAACAGAACGATGACCCAAAATGAAATCCCACAAGACTAACGAAAATATATGTAGACTTGCGCACGAAGAACATCTAGACGACACCCTTGGACGTCTTCCCTGCGTTGTCCTTGTCCGTTGCAATATTGGTGTTGAGCTTTGTCTGTTCTTCCTGCAGTTGACTTTCCAAGTCGGATGTATCATCACCCGAAGCTTGGGCCTGCGCAATCTGTTCAAGACTCGACATCAGCGCCACTCGATCCGACAAGGTGTATAAATGATCTTACCTTGATATTAATAGCTTGCACCTCACCAGCAAGTTTCAAGACCTTGTTCTTGATCTTTCCAACTTGGAGCGCATCAGCATCAGCACCGCTTGCAGCATCAATCGCTGGGTCAAATTGTTCTGTCTCGGCGTTTTCAGCAGCTTCGCGCATGTTGTTGATCGCGTCGAGGACGTCAGAAGATACTGTGCTCAGGTCGGTGTTAGCAAAGGGATCTAAAATACAAAAGAAAAAGATTGCGTTAGTAATGAAAAGATCATTAAGAGCAAGGAGACGTACCGACGAAGACGGCATTTGCTTGTGCTTCGGCGTTACCTCCAACTCCATCACTGATTTGGAATTGGGCATAACTACGGTGGCAATCATAAGCTTGCAAAAGAAAAGGACATGGACACTGGGCGCTCACTCAAGCTCCTTGAAGTTGTCAGCCGACTGAGTAACTGCTTGGCTACCGGATGCGACATCTTTGTTTGTTGTGGCATCGGTTGCAGCAGCGTCATCCGCACTCGCAGTACTAGAAGCTGCAGCCACATCTGAAGCGGAAACGGAAGCAGTAGAAGATGCAGAGCCCGAAGCAGACCCAGAGGAACCGGAAGAATTAACAACTCCCTGGGACGTCTGCCCGGCACTCGCTTTGTCAGTTGCAATGTTCGTGTCAAGCTTCTTCTGCTCTTCTGCCAGCTGGCTCTCAAGATCCGACGTATCATCACCAGAAGCCTGCGCTTGCGCAATCTTCGATGAAGATTAAATTGAGTACTTCAGAAACTTCCAGTGCACTCGAACTACCTACCTTGATGTTAAGCACTTGGACTTCGCCGGTAAGCTTGAGAACTTTGTTCTTGATCTTCCCGACTTGCAACGCGTCCTTTTCAGCACCAGTGGCCGCATCAATTGCAGGGTTGAACTGATCCGTCTCGGCGCTCTCAGCGGCCTCGCGCATCGTCTCTATTGCGTCGCGCACTGTATCGGATATCGTTGAGAGGTCAGTGTTCGCGAATGGGTCCACAAAGACTGCGTTGGCCTCAGCAGCTGCATTTCCAGCTACGCCATCTGAGATCTGGAACTGCGCATAACTGGCGCTTGTGTGAGTCTACGGACATGGGTTAACGGGTGAGCTCCTTACTCAAGTGCCTTGAAGTTATCAGCGGTTTGTGTGACAGTTTGCCTTGCACGGATAGGTGCAGCGTGAACACTTGTCAAAGCGGCCACTGCAGAGAGAACCACCACAGAAATGGACGCAAAGCGTGTCATCTTGCAAAATCTAAACAAAATCGGGAGAAGAGGATGAAGCAGACCAAGATCCAAACACTAGGAGCCGGTTCGATAAACAAAAGAAGAGCGAATGCACCAGGCAATCAAGTCTGAAGCGAAACGAAGGTAGGATGAAAAGAAACGGCCGTCAAGACCTAATGCTCAAAGGAAGGGAAAGGGAACCGAACGGTGTAGGCGGGCTGCAAAACTTCATGTACCTGCAGGTCTTCATGTTTTATACCAAACGTGAGTGTGTGTGTACGGTGCATCGTTGCCATTGCTGGGAAGATTGCTTGGCATCAGAACTTCCAGATAGACACGCCGGAAAAGGTGGAAGAAGGAAGCGAGTCGCTCTTCTCTGGCACGGACGGCGCGGTTGCCATGAATATTATGATATTCCGGGAGGAAGAAGGGAGACGGAAACGACGACAAGCGGACGGACCGTGCATCCCTTAGCGTTGATTTTTGTTTCTCACGTCAGCGCTCAGGCAGTTCAGCTTCAAAGGTCAAGCCTTGGCAGAATACCATGAAAGTAGACATAGTGTGAAAAAATGCGAATCGTACTGGTAGCGAAAGCAGAAAATCTAAAGATTCTAAAGAGTTCGGAGCCGAGTTAAGAAACGAATCGGAGCGACGCATTGTGCACGTGATACAACGATTGTTCCGCGAGTCCGCGAAGAAATAGGACAAGGCACGGCCTACCAACTGCCGCCATCTTCTTCTCTTTTTTTCCCGTTTGTTGACACGTCAATTCGTGCCTAATTTTCTCATTACTCGATCGTCTGTGTCGTGTATATCCCGTTACCTTGCAAATATCTGTTGTCCTCGGGGACTATTAGACGGCATGGGAACCAAGGATTGTGCACACGGCTCTGACGTCTAACCTAGTTTCGAGCTGAAATCTGTGAGCTTTTATACTCGCATGTCAAGTCGCAGACTATCATCCCAACTGTTCACTTTCGGAGGCTTTTGATCTGCAACATTTGTTACACGGTAATACGTTAGAGGGGTAGAAGACTAGTTTATTTCATCACTATGTTGCTTCATTGCAACTTCCGCATATCTGGCATGATACATATCTAACGGTCATACAGAGTAGAGATTCTGCAATAGCAAATAACCTTTCTCAATAAACTGTGTAAACGATAGAAAAGGAATGAGCAACTAAATCCTCGGCATCAATACAGCTGGCAGCACTCCATTCGCCATCACGAAGTAGTCTGCAAGTTCTCCTTCCCCAACTCAGATGTGAATTGAATGTCAAATCGCTGCATCAGAATAGCAACGACCATCCGCACCTCAGCAAGAACAAAAGCCCGCCCAGCAAAATTCGCAGGTACCTAAGAAGATGGAGTGAATGCCGCCATTTCTGTGCACACTCCTGATTGGACTTCAATCCGGGGCATTTACGCCTGTGCTAGCAAACTGAGCAGTACATTCGATTGTTTGACAATATTGGGTTGCAGCCATCGGTCTGACTAGAATTTGTTAGGAACTGGAGAAATATATGCCACACTGGGAAGAGTGCACATAGTGGGACAAATACAGCAGTTCCTTCCGTAACGAATCTGGATAATTCGAAGCGTTGCGGAACGTGGTGCGGATTGTGTGCGACGGGAGAGCCGATGGAGGTGGGTGACCAGCGGCGGTTGAAGACAGTTCTATCAAACCTCAAAACGCTGTAATGTACTGTTTCATTAGAGACTATGCAAGAAGCGAAAGAAGAAAACAAAAAAATACAAGATTTGTCAGCGAAACTGGTCAAAAACATGAGTATCTGGTGGCATCTTCTGAGCGATCAAGGGATCAAGTCTCCTTACTGAACGTGAGAGTATCTGATCACGAAAATGTGCCATAAAATAAGTCTTTGTCTAGCAAAATTAGCATGCTAACCTTTTCGCCGATGGCGTATGCAACGGATTGCGTGTGGCAAGATAGTTCCTATGACAGACAGCGTCTTTTCTCTACATGGGACAATTCTTATCACATACCAGACGTAGGATAGAGAGATCTGCCTGGAAGGTATTTCTAGTCTGAATACCTAGAAAACACTCACGACACGAAGATTAAGAGTTCCGTAATCTCTAAGGTCCTCGTCAATGACACCACCATCGTCGCGAGGAAGTACCGCCGCTGTTCCGACTGGGTGATAGACAGGGATGATGAACTTTTAAATTAATGCACTCTTTCAAGCTTGCATCGCTCTTGAGCTCGTCTTCCCTCGGTAGTACCACTGGTTTTACAATAAAAATGTCCTGCAACGGCGGCGTCTCGTAGAATTGGAGGAAGAATCTCACAATGTGGACGAGCAGATCAACATCAGCTCCATTTGAAGATAATTCGGGTCGATATTCGGATCAATTAAGGGATCCAGAGAGTCAAGGTGAACAGATTCCTGAGAGAGTGGGTGCATTTAGACTCCCGATCACCTGGTCTAGAATGGGAATGGAATTAGGCACATGCAGATGACCTAAATATTGCAAACCCCTATAGAATGTCGTTAGCGCTTGCATGCGCAAGTACGTCCTACTTTGCTAGGTTTGCGCACTGTCTTTGATGAATTGTCTCTGGAGATTATACTACTTCTCCAGCCATGATTTTAAGGGAGGCATAGCCTTTGCAAGGCTCTCTGTGAACGCGGAATTCGCCTGACGCTCCGAAGAGCTGATGTTCTCTGATGCTCCGAGTTGCTTTGCGGATAGAAATGCCTATATGAGCCGAGATTGTGGGCGGGCGATAACTTTTGATCTAACTGAGGTGTGCCGCCATCAGTGATCTCGGCATTGACCGTGGGAATGGTTGCGACTCACCTACAGCCTACGTTGAGGACTCGAGGTGCTTACCTGGACCCTTGTACAGCCAAAAGCGGACCTGGACTGCTCCGAGCAGCTGTTGTGCTAGCACACTGCTAGATAGTGAGCAGTGGGCGATTTTCAACAGTCAGCTACCCCAACTTGGTGGCTGCGAACGACAGCATGGAAGATGGGAACCATGATAGCAGTGGCGCAAACATGCATATGGTGCAGATTGAACACGACGGGAGAACCCATGAAGGTGTGTAACCACAGTCATGTCATTGTGCAGGATCGTAATTCAAGAAAGTATACGGTATAGACCGGCGATGTTGAAGTTTGTCTTGCCGGAGAATGTTATCGTCACAATTTTCCTTTCCTCACAGTATATATTTGTTCGGTAAGTCGGTCTATGTTCCGTGAATGATTAATTTTGTTCATGGCGTAGCTCAATTCTCGCGTAGTACTCGGCTTGTACGCACTCGTCGAGAGTGCACTACCGGGGCAGATTTCTTCCGTGAAAATACAGTAAATTTTGGCGTTCCTGAGGTTGCACTGTCTGTAGCTCTCAACATCATGGCTACTATACTCATTTGCGGTCGGATTATGATTATACGTCGCCAACTACAAAGGGCACGCATGCCTGTTACTCTTCTGGGATCGTTTTAGTTGTCACGCCAGGGAAGGACCTAAACGTCGGCTTGGCCTTCACGCAAATTTGGGAGTCTCTGTGGTAAACTTTTCGAGCGGTCTTCCCAAAGTATAGCCTTCTGAATACTCTGCGATACTACAGGTCTTTTATCCACAGTTTATTCTCAGTGTTGCAATGGAAAGGACATGGACCCGTAAGGTTGCGTCCTAATTCTCCAGCTCGACACGCTCTACTGGTATTTCCAAGACACGGATTATCGATGGTGTACGCACCTTCAACTTACGAGAAAGGGTTCCACCACGCTTGCATGAGGTGATGGCACGCCATTGTTAGCAGATTCACAGGTTATGAATGCGAAGGCTCATACTCAAAGGTAATAACGGATAGCAGTCGTCTACAGTGCGGTGCCAAGTCCTAGATAATATATATCCGCGTTATCACTAATTTGGACCACTATCCATGATAACGCGTTGCAAATCACAACATACCCAGAGAGTGATGAGAAGGACGTGATTGGGAAATCCTTAGATAGTTCTGGCCCGTTTCTGACAAATTTGCTCACATAGGACATGTCTGAGTACATTGACAACACGCTCCGGATACAACAATGTCATTTATTTTCGCCAATATGCTGATGGAGTCTCGTTGCTGACATGTGTATTTCTTAGTCGACCACTCAACGCATTCGAAGGATGTTCGCTCTTATTGTACACTGCTTATAACTTGACTGTATGTGCACACGAACACAGTCATGTGCGCTATAGTCCCCATACACAAAAAGTATCAAACACAGTGTGTGATAGCCACTTCTTTCTTTCCTGAAGCAAAGCTGTCGACTGACACTATCAACGTGGATCATACAGGTCACTAGATGTGCGCAAAGATTTCTTGACAATCCATGATGGAGATTAGAGATCAAGCACATGATGCCGGATACAATTGATTGAAACTGGAACAAGTCAAACATGGGGAACCATTCTATGTACTGTAGCAGTCAATTCGTGGAAGAATGATGTCATGTGATTGGAGCATATTGTCTTAGCGAATAAGGCCACCACGAGTTTTCCGGAGCGATTCGGCTATGCCCAAGAAAGTTTCTGCAAGTCTCACCTGTGCATTTTATAATCAGAATATCTGTGACATTGTATCCGACCTATAACGGACTCACTGAATCCAAGGCAATGTTGTATGCTGATCCTACTACTGCATTTGCCGGCAACAAAGGGTCGCGCGGTGCACGATCCTCCACTTCCTTTGCAATCTGAGCCATGCGCCGAAGGAAAGTGGAGGAACCATCCGGTCCGAAGGATACTGCTTGGAATGATACTGCTCGTCTGTAAAACTGTCAGCTATATTATATTCAGAATATTAGAACGATGGTACGAACCCCAAACTGACAGCCCTCCTGCAGAGACTATATACAACATCATCTCTAACAGAACACTCGCCATCGGACAAGAAAATAACAATAGGTGTCCTAATGCCTCTTTTGAGACTACTAAGAGAAACTTTCAAAGAAGCAAACGTTACCTCTCAGTACTCCAGTGTTGTGCCAAAATATTTTCTGTAAGAGAAAGAGCGACACCAAAGTTGGTTCCTCCACCTGCAGTATACTGCAGAAGCTTCTCGAGCAGGGCATCAGGCGAACTTGTAAAGTCATTGCTGAAAACCTCAGAAGCTGAACCAGTAAAAAGTATGGCACTATACGCGTCGCGCCTGGCCTGTGTAGATGCTTGGTTCATAGCCGCAGCACGAGCCGACCAGAAAGAGTGCAAAGCACAGTACACTGCTCCCAGCCTATTATTAGCAACCCTTGTTATTCGTTGAGATGCTGGATAATCCGGTAAAGGGCGTCTGTCTGTAGAAGTCATGGAACCGGATCTGTGAATATAGAGATTAGGACTCGACAGTGTTGAAAACTAGAAATAGTGGATATTTGTACCGGTCAATAACGAATATGCTAAGGACAGGCAGTGAGGAAAATATTTGCCATTGGATCATGCTGTACGCACACATGAAATGCTTGAGATGAGACAGCAGGGTTCTTGCACGAAAAGGCATGCCCATCGTTCGAGACATTGCCATTTGCTTGAGCTTGACTGGGAACGGCAGGATTGTGGAAGATCGGTAAAGTGCAGTAGGACGGTTGGGCTGCAGTACTAGCTGTAGCATGATGCTCGATTCCTGTTCAAACAAGCATATACCTTAACAAGACGCACGCAACGAGATAAATCTTTCGTACCGGAGCACATTGCATCGCTTAGTCGTGTTTTGTCATGAAAATGCCAATGTACAATAATAATTGAACGCACCACTTTGCAAAGTTTGCCTGTTCTTCCCTAGAATACGGATCTACAGCGTTGTGTTAATATCTGACATGATCATAGTGCATATTTAAATGCGTACCCTTAAAGCCCAGCCTTCGCCAGTATAATTTATGTGATACCCAATCCTTTGACGTTTCAGGATTAGGTTCAATTCGCATTTTGATGTGGTCCAATTCGGGTGCGTTGCAAGTACCAGGGTCTGCTGCACGGCAGTAGTCGATGTGAGTGTGACGGCCCATCGAACTACACACAAGATTGCACAGCATCGGTGCCCCATCATCGTTTGTTCCGAATTTATGGCCATCAATTTCGAGAGCATTTCCATCTGGCCCGTCCACCACCCAACGCGTTTGCGCCATAGACCCATGGTTCGTTGAGTGTTCTGGTTGTGGATGTCCTGTCGTAACAAGAATGACTATACTGATAACAGCCGAGCCTATTCAAGATACTCACCGCTTGGCAAAGTGCAAACGTAACTACAGTTATCACATCTGATTTTACGGTTTTCGTCTGAAACAACTCCTGTTCCACGGAAAGTATTGACCTACCTAGCATCACAGTAGTGGAAAGGATTTGGTGATGTGGAGTGAACATGCGGTCCATCGTGGTGAAGAAAGTCAGGCGGGATGATAATAGCACACGGCAGCCGCTTTGTTGCTGAAGATTTGGAAATTCAGTAAGTTTATTTGGTGAGCTAATTTGTAATGCTAACCTTGCGAATACTTCGGGAGCGAAAGAGATTGGGAATTAGTCATGACGAGATATTAAGGATGAATGCACCGACCTTCGTGTATTGGAAACGATCGTGAGCCCCACTGAAAGTTGCCTCAATTGACTGCGGTACCGTATCGATCTCGCACACGCCCTTGCTTTCACAGAGCTCAATGCACTTATGCTCCTGCCTGCAGACATGATGAACACACAGTGGGATGCCACAAGTACCAAGGACTTACCCGCAGAGGTGAATAGCGTTGACTCGTAAACCGTGTAAATGATCGACAGATGAGCACAGCCGTCCGCACAACTGACATGCGATAGGGCACGATGCTGCATCGCAGACATGGATTTCGTGTTCCTCGTCCCTATTATACAATACTGGATGAGTTCCAACCTCAATATCCGGATAAGACACTCACCAAAGGAAAGAGCAAGTTCCCTGACATGTGTACAGTTTGCCACCAAGCCCTCTTACATTCTGCAATTTACACAGCTGTATTATGTGGTCAAATGTACTGTCAGCATACGACAGAGCCAAATTCGAGGAACATTCACCTCTCCGCAAAGATGGCGCCGTGCAGAGCAGAGATGATCGTCTTCACCATGAGTTGCTACCTGTAGTATGTAATCACTAAGTACCTGCAATTCATGTACATTTCGGGGACACACCTTCGTGCAGTTGCCTTGGCAGCCCTTCTTGTCACGGAGATTGCAGGGATGTCCACAAAGATGCACAGTTGGGTCGCATCTGTGCATTCATGAGAAAACAATGTAGATGTCTAAGCAATGAACAATTGAAGACCCACATGTGTTGGCCTTCATGCCCTGCTCTGTGTAATGATAAATTATAAAGTAACGGAAGTATTGGATTACAGAACTCACGATAATGAACAAGCATCCGGTTCATCGTCATGCTCGTTGACAAATTGACACCTATGAGAGCACAAATGATCGGTGGTGCAGTCGTGATTTCCTTCGTGGAATTGGACACCGAGGCATAGGAGATAACATCGCTCGCATCTCGTTTTGCATAACTGAATGCTCCTCTTCAGTTCTATGACTTTGCTATCGAGTGATCTCCTAAGTTCTTCGATTGCAGCATTGTTTGTACCAAAACCATCAAGGTTTGAGTCAATCCACGCTTGCACGTGTGCCGTTCGTTGGTCAAGAAGTTCTTGCAAATACGAAGAAAGTTGAGTGGTCCATTTTTCATCCTGTACACACTGTCGCATTTCGAAATCCGGCCATGATTGGATGAGCCTCTGCACGGCATCTTGCTTCTTAGACCGCTGCTCGTCCGAATCGCCAAAGCAAAACGCAGCACTAGAGTCTTCGACTTGGACTTCGTCGTTAGTATCAAAATTCTAGGATTCTCTAGAATCAACATCATATACGAAAAGAGGAGTACTCGATTTCTGACCTTCAAAGGTTCAAATTCTGGTTCAAGTTCAGCTGCTCCATATGAAAGGGCGCGTGGTAGAATTGACAGAAGATGTTGCGCTCGGTGAGTTGCCATGTTTTCTAGAAGAGGTACGCTCAATATATTATAACATGATATGCTGATACCCTGAGCAACCCACGTGAAAGGGATCCCCAATCATTTGTCTGTGCGAGGGCAATACTTGAAAGTGAAGCTAAAAGACAACCAAATTGTTCAAACATACTTTCAGCTTTGCCATGAGCATCTTCAATTTCTGGAGGAAAGCACCACCACCCTCATGTGTCGGCAATTGGCTGTCTAGATGCTTCTTCAACGTTGAGAAGAGAGTATAGAATTGTTGTGATTCGATGACTGGCCACGGGATGATGTTAAGACGGCCACGGTACAGACGAGAGATGAAGTTGGACGCCTGCTCTTCCTGGACAATTTTATGCAGTTTCAACTTGAATCTACCGTGCAATCAGCACAGTACCATGTTATGAAACTCACAATACTCACTCCCTAGCAATTTCCATTCGGTCTGAGTCCACGACATCCTAATGGTTTAAGTAATGAGTTAGTAGTATACATTACAACGGTAAAATCATCTGACCTTGATGATTATGACGAGTGTGGACTGAAAGAGCGAGGGATTTGCGTCTGGATCAAGAATAGAAGACGATGACTGGAAACTCTGGAAGAGATTGGTAATATCCCGCGAAAGTGCAAAGTTGTTTCGGAACAAAACCTATTTTGCTTTAGTACTACAGTCATCTCTCACTAGACCATACGCACCAAATTTGAGATCGCTGCATTGAAGAGGACAAGAAGCGTATCTTCCTGAGCTGATCTCTCAATGCTGTGCACGCCTTTACAACACAGATAGCGTCAGTGACATGACCTACTATTATTTGATCTAGACGTACCTTCAAAGTCAAGCACAACTATCAAGTCGTGCTCTGTCGGAGTAACCGACATCCAAACACCCTCGGTCGTCCTCATCGCTGATCCAGCAAAGGACGTGTCAGCAAGATGGTTCAAAGCAAAACTCTTTCCAACCGATTGCTCTCCTGTGGTCACAAATAGTAAGCTAGGTCTTCAAATTTGAAAGAAAAAAGAAAAAAGGGGGGTGGGGACATACCCATAGAAGAAACAACTTTAACATTCTGCAATAGGAAATGAATACAATAGTACGTGAAAAGTAAAGGGTGGATTATACCTTTGTTGCCATATATGATTGGAAGATACTTTCGTACCATCCAAAGGATAAGCTGTCGGCAACACGACCAACTTCAGCTCCTAGCAAAGACTTTTCGACCTCAGGAGCCCAGACGCCGTCCTTCAACGGAATAAATCGGTTGTCTCGAGCAACTGCTATATGGATTGGAATTAGACAAAAGATGTCAACAAGCCATTGCCCAGCTTTGTAAACAGAACAGTCAGAAAAGGTGCATTCGTTTGCGAATTCACATTCCAGGATAGTAATGTTAGTAAGGGCTGATCCTGTCGGTTTTTTCGTGTTCCTCTCGAACCTACGGATCAAGTCGCTGAAATAATCCCTAAATGGAAATCGACTCGTAAACGAGGTAACGAAACGGATGGATCTGCTTTTGCGAAGCTCTCCAGCTGTGATGACTTTTCGCTGTATTGCAGGGACAACTGGGAATCGTGTCCAGACATCGGAGTGACAGTCGACGAGTGAATTGTGTAACGTTTTCTTAGTCTCCGAGTAGGTGGTGCTTCTGTCTTCTTTCTCCCGAAAATGGAATTCTGTCGCTGGTCGAGTGATCGAAATACAGAGAGAGCGACAGCTGTTATCACCGACGCTGAGGAAAAAGAGATGGATATTCTTTAGCTCGTCAAAGGCAGATACTACTGGAGGAGCAGTAAAGACGCCAGGAAAGTCGAATGCAAAGCCTTCGTGAGAGCCGAGAGATGCCCAATGATACATCCGAATGGTTGCTGTATCATCTTGTAATCGGATAGCGCCAAAACACGAGCCATCTGGAGTTGTAAACGTTCTTGACGGCAACCAAGGCAGTTGCAAAACGGCAGGTCTATGGGAATAGGGTTCTTATCAGTCACATTATCTGACCGAATTTACATAAGCGCTGTGAACAAACCGGAACTGTTGCGTCAGCGTGGAGAACACTCGCACTTTCCCACTATCCTCAAGTAACGCAAGCTCGTCATTTCCACTAATGATGTGAATGCAAACAATTTTTGGCAATCCGGATGTATACCATGCCGTCAAGTTCGTTGCACTTCCCTGTACTTGTAGAGATTGGTATCTCTCGTCAAAGACAAAGAAGTGGAGTTGAACAAAGCACTACTGTGCATAAGAAAACTCTGCTGCACGGTATGAATCTATTAGTACACAAACCTTCTGAGAATCTGTTCCACAAATCGCCAATGACCGCTTTCCCTCGTCGTATGTCATGGCGATATCCTGACCAGTCTTCTCTCGATTGATATGTTTTTTGGAGCGTTTGTTCTTGACAGCAGCGGACAGCGTGCTTGGAGTTTCGAGATAAACATAGAAGTCATGACTTCGATCCTCAATTATGACAAGACACCTTTCATTTGGGAGGAGTCGGAAGAGTCTTGACAGAATATTTAACATGATTTCATTGTATAAAAATATCTAAAATACTTGCCTGACTGATTCACCTAATTGTAACTCAAAGCCGAAGGCTCCTCGCGCTGATATCCTAGGCCTAGGAGTAAATGTCTGATCGAGTTTCATACGATGCTTGTCCTCCTCTGTTAATTCAAGAGGGTGGACTGTGTATCCCACTCTAGGCTCCGAACGGTCAACTAAAATGCCGGTTGCACGATGCGTATCCTGGTATGCTTTAAGCACTATCAGCGTTTCCTATGTATATGATGCATGAGACAGGACATACGATAGTCATAAGACGGAACTCTCTCTATATTATCAACAATAATAGTCTGTCTCCTGGTCGAAATCAGAATAAAATAGATATACCTTGGTGTCAAGAAACGCACCGATCGGGTTTAGTAGTACAAGACTTGGCTATGTCAAAGAGAAGCTCTGAGCGAGACTGTTTCTGCCTTCCGTCACGGTCTGCAGTAAGCTCTCGCTCCAACTCCTTCTTACAACACTCGATCTGCTCATGAATGAGCTTGTGTGGAGCGGACCGAAGGACTTCTGCAATGTTCTGGGACAGATCTTTCTGGGCAATATCGAAAGCATTCTGAATGCCGGGACCGAGTATGGGCCAATCTTCTCGAATTTTATGCGCCATTGGGAAGAAATCGACTGCTTTGATATGGCGAACAGCTTTCAATGCCTCCTGGACAAGATCATTTTGCTGGAATGAAGTACCCTTTCCAGAGAACAAACTCCGGCGAAACTTGTGCAGACCGCGAACAATGCTTGCGAACGAGCCTGTGTTGTGACCGTTCAGAAATTCTTCTGCCGCGCTAATGTCACCACTCTCCACTCTGGAGTTCACGAATTCCCAGACACCTTTCCGGTCATTCTCAGAAAGCCAGACATTTGAAAAAAGATGGTTACATATGAGGACCTTCCTCATTGCCTTCGGAAGCATGCTGCCCTCCATTCTTGCAAAATCATCAGGAACCATCTTGCGGAGTTTCTCCTTGAATGTCGGGTAAAGCGCTGACAAATTTGCAATAGAAGCTAGCAGTGGATGTCAATAACAATAGTTATCTGACAAGTCAAAGCATACCAATATCTTCATCTTGCTTGTCCTGTGGTGGTAGGTCACCCGTCGTCCGGCCCCGAATAACAGATTCGTCCAGATCCCTATACATACGTCAAAACTATCAACAAAATAATAAGTCAAAATACTTACGGATATGCAGTCAGAACCTTTTTGACAAGATATGTTTCGAGAGCGTCCCTCAGCCTGGCTTCAGATGGCTTTATGTCTTTCTCAATCATATCTATCCTTGATCTGCGGTCACGAGCAATTTGCCCTTCATCCTCTTTCTCGCGGTTTACGAAAGCAGCAACAGCTGTAGGGTATCTCCTTGAAAGACCATTCTTAAGTAGGAAGGAGATGGCACCGTGTGAAATATGCTCATTGAAGCATAGGTGCACGTTCTCGTTAAATCTGCTAGCAACTTAGTGAGTGGGTGCTAACAGTTCTGGATGGCTTACAGATAGGCCTGAAATTGCATCTCGTTCCCCAGGTTCTCGCAAAACCTTTTTTGTGTCTCTTGGCTAGGAATGAATTTCACGGTTAAGAGTGCCAGGCTCGTATCACCGGAAATCAGGCACGTATTAAGCGGGACCTCTGGACCAGTAGTTCCTAACATCGACTCTGGAATCGAAGATTCACGAATGAGCTCATTCTTTATCTAGATGACCCGTGTAAATAAAACACTATTCATCGCTGCGCTTATAGGTACGCACCTTGATTCCTTCGGAAAAGGTCACATTCTCTTCTTGCTCATTAGCTGTAGCGACCTCAAAGGTAAATAACCTGTCTGTATCGTCAAACTCGGTAAAGTCGTTCGTAGACGTCTTGTCATGCGCCTTGCTCGAATCATCCCAGACCAGAGTGCGTCCGTGCTCCTGAGAGATCAACGCCACTATCTGATCCGTGATTTTCGTCAGGTACCTTTTCAGACGATTTATCAGAACGTAGACAAAACGGTAGTCATCTCGCATGTACGTATAGTACGTTGCAAGTGAAATTTACGCACCTCATGAACGTTGTCCTATTACGCTGGACCGTGGAAATTGCATTGTCATCCCATGTAGTGTCTTCTGGCCAGAAGATGATGAAGACACGGCACTCATTCGCTGAGGTTTTCGGTAACACAAGCGCGTACAGGCCAGCACGTAAAACCGGTGAAAATGCCGACGTGTTGTCAGTCTGACGCAAAGCAAGAAGGTTTGCACTGAATAGCCAAAGAACCGATTAGAGACGGACGACGTCAAAAGGAAATTGACGAACACGTTATCGTCTATCGCGTCATGTTCACGTAAAAAGCTAATGATTTCGTCCTTGCTACCGTAAAGACCAAGAGGCATGACGTCGAGATCGTCCATGGCTTTAAAGTCGACTTTTGTCAGGTCTTTGTACGCTCCCGGGCTAATTTCATTGATGAACCGCCCGACAGAAATCTGATCGATTATAACTTTGTCAACTGTGCCAGAAACGTCAATGTTATATGAGTTGGTCAACAAGTACGCTTACCCAAACCACCACTTCCTCGATCAGAAATAAGGTCCAGGATTCGATAAAGGCCCTTAATTCTATAGACTAAGTCCAGCTTGTTGTGCTCGGGTGCTTCCTCAGATACTGGCCCTTCCTTGCTCTGCTTATGGTCCTCTGCTAGGACGGTGATGAAGTCATTCGATGAAGTAGGTGAGCCAGTAACAATGCCTTGATCTACTCTGTGCTGGTCGATATCGTCCTTGGTGAGCATAGAATAGGCAACATCACCACTTGAATGGACTTGTAGGTCGTTATCGCCATCGCTGTGGGTGGTCTTGCCTGGATGCTGTTCGTCGGATGCATCATGCATGACACTTGTTACCCTCGTTAGTGGCACACTAAAAATATCGCTCTCTGCGTCAAGAAACTGGGACTCGGCATCGGAGTAGTAAAGATCATCCGTCTCAGACGTATCCTTGTCTTGTTCATCTACATCCATTGGCTGTTCATTCCAGCTCGTGCTAACTTCATGAGTGGAAACGGAGGGAGGAGTCGAATTCACTGTGCGAGGCGTCAGACAGGGAGGGATTCATGGTACTTGCACGGGAACGTACAAATTGCGTTGCTTGGATCCTTTGCAGGCTGTACCGCTTGCATATCTGCGAGTACGTGGGGAGGATTGTCAGTCTCCATTGGAGAGAAGGCGACCAGAAAGATTGAAGAAAGAAGAGAGGTTAGAGGACGAGGAGTCTCTTCAGTCTGGTGTGTCGTTCTTATATCTCGTCTATTCGAACTGGTGATACGGAGGCACGATCCTAATGAAAGTTCCGAACTCTTCACAAAGAAGGTACCCCAGATGCTTTACTGATGGAAAGAGGATGAAAGGCAATGGAACATGTGTTGTGTATGAGTTCTTTATCACATCCTTCACATCTATGACAGAACCTTTGTACAGTTGCGATGTTCGCTGTACACATTGCAAGGGACGCATTTCCCAAATGGTTCAGATCTTCTGATTAAGCAGCGCGTCTGATGAACAAACCCAAAATGTGACACGTGACGGTGTTGTGGTGCAATTAAGCGCCCATACAGAGTACGGACATCCTCAAATTAAACCATATTAGCACTTCTTCTGGCATCATGCCGTTCATACATTGCAACGAGGGGTGTGTCCTAGGGTTGAAGACGACATGTGGATTTCTGACGCCCTGCAGTTCTTGCTAAGACGTAGAGGTCGAGTCTGCTTTTTGTGCTGGCTTTATCCTTCCTGCTTGTATCCGGTAAACTCGGAGGACGACTCTGCTACTCCCCTAGTCGCTTAATGCTGCATACCAATACACTCCAGCGCGTCCTCGGTGGTGAGGAGTGTCTTTGCACTCACGCTGGGTTAAGCCAGTATAGTCGCTCTGGCTCGCCTTCCGCGTGTGGCTTGGCGGCGATGAACTGCGTTCGGTATCTCCTGTCTCTTGAGCGTCAAGGCATGTCTAGCCCAGAGCTGGTGAACAAAATGGTAACAAAAGAGTCGATGGAGGTAAGTGTTCTTTTACGAATTTGCCATCCAGACAGCATATTTACTTGAAAATGGCAGAACATTATGTCAATCTGTTCAAAGTGGACTAGCGATGCTCACCTTGAAGTCGAAGATATTTTGAAAACACCCTTGTTCAAAGCCACACTCCGGCACATACGGACTGACTATGGACCAGCTGGGCAATCAACATTTGAAGCAATGCTTCGGTAAGTGGTATAGAACATAAAACGCCCTTCCTTAATCTCACCAGTCGCCGCAGTCGACTGGGACAACTCGCCAGTCAGAGTGCATCATGTGCAGTCGTCATAACCCGTCCGCCCGAGATAGTCATGTGCATGAAGATTGCGCACCCTCAGGACTTATTCGTCATTTTCGACTCTCATCCACGGAAATCTCATCCAGACGGTGCTGCATTCATTTTCCGCGGCTCGCTTGAATCAGCTTCTCGGCACCTTTCCGAATTGTTTCCAGTCGATGCACGCCTCCTCGCTCCAGACAGTGATCTGCAATGGCAAGCTGCACTCCTCGCACACGTGTCTGGCCATTACTTTAAACTTTCACGCAATGATATGCGGATGTCTCAAGAGGCAGAGCAAGCTTTCCTTGAGGCGAACTGTTCTATTCTTCTTGCGAAGGCCGAAGAAAACGAGGCAAAGTCGTGCTCTGCATTACTTTCTTCGGAGAATGAGCGCCTAAAGACGAATCTTGAGCTAATGCAAGACGAATTGGAGTTTCTGAAGGCCGAGAAAGCAGCGCGCACGGCCGAACTGGAAGAATTACGAGAGCTCAAGAAGGTCTTATCATCCCATGCACAGGTTCAATCAGCAACTGCTTGCACGTCATGTCTTCGCGATAGTGAGAATCGTGTCAAGTACCAGTCATCTGTCGCAAGATCCATCTTCGGCAATGTGTACGACACCAGAAACAACTTCCAGAACTCTATTCATAGCAACGACAGCCGTCTCGCTCAGAACTTTGAATTGTCTGAGGCTATTTCCCGTACAGGATCGAAAGGGAAGAGAAAAGAACCACTGTTTCCGGAGGATAATGGCTTAGAGGCGGCGATACGCTTACAGTTAGAATATCAAGAAGAAAATGCGGCTCTTATTGCACAAATGCAACGTTTACAGGAAACTTTTGTGCAACAGATGTTTGATTGTAGAATTTGTATGGACCAACTTCCTATTGACGACGTCGCTCGCCTCAATGATTGCGAACATTTATTCTGTCGATCGTGCATTCGCCAGTATATCTCATCGAAGCTCGAGGACCGAAAGTTCCCTATTCATTGTCCATGCTGTTCTGCTGAAGGGGATGGTGATAGAAGGGGTAGTGAGTGCCGGTTTCTTACAAGTGCCTGCTTCAGATTTTACATCCTATCTACTCCAGGCGTCTCAGAGGCTCTTATCCATCAAATTGGAATATCGGATCAAGCGTATACCATATTCAATGAATTGCAGATTACAAAGTTTTCTGTTCCGGTGCAATGTAGAGCGTAGGTTGCCTTATTCATCATGCTTTCCTCCTTACAACATGCACGATTAATTTTAGATGCAACCGAAGCGCATTTGTTGACAAACTCGAGTTTGAACGGACGAAGGTTCTTTTCTGTCCATTTCCGAACTGTTCCTATGTGTGGTGCAAAGAGTGTCAGCAAGAAGTCGACACGAGCAAGGATGGCCCGATTCATTCGTGTGATGGTAGCGAGGAACTCACGCACCTCATGTCGCGGACAGGATGGAAGAACTGTCCTGGATGCAAGACACCAACAGAGAAAACGGAAGGCTGTAATCATATGACGGTAAGTCATTACCCAAATCCAGTATGAGATCAGGGATCTTACCTATTGATAGTGTGGATCACCTGGCTGCAATACGTGAGTCTTGGAATATCTGTCTTGCCTGCACACGCCCTCAGCGTCTCTAACTACTCAGGCACTTCTGTTATATTTGCGGCGGACTAATCATACAATCTACTCAACGTGACGCGATCAAGACTCAAGTCGCCGCGCATTACAGGTCGAATTGCCAGCTCTTCCATGTACCGCCAGAGAATTAGATATCCTACATGATTGTAGTATGAGACGTTTTCTGCCGTTCAATTGCCCAGGTCATATTGTCTTACCATACTATAACTCTTATTGATCGACCATTCGAAGGTAGTTAGACAGACATATCTTGATTGCTCGTTGTGCAATTTCGTATACAGCCTCGAGGCATTAAGCGCCAGGCCTACGTCCGGTAATCTTCCGGTGTAATTATAGTATTACAGAAGCCCATAAGTTCTTGCTTAACTCCACCCACCTTCAAGTTTGTCACATTGAATGAGTATTAAGAACCTTAATACAGGGTACATCCTGAAGGAGTCATCAAAAGTATCCCAACCCCCTCAAGGCGCCTGCAGCATACGTCAGCTCTTGACATGAGTTGAGACCAAGCGGCCTCATTTCAATCATGCTCAGATTGGATACTTGTATAAAAAACCGATACCATTCTAAATATAGCGAATAATGGTAGTGCTGATTGAACGATGAGACAAAGACAAGGGCAAAAAAGTAAAGAATATGCAGTGCCCTTCTGTATATGAGATTCCCTTTCAAAAAAGGAAACAGGTTACCTACCTTATCTGGTATGGCCTCTGGTTATTCTCAACTACGCTGTGCTTGATGGCAATGCATATATACGTCGATTGGCATACGAACAAAAAACTGAGGCTAGAGGTGGCAGAGAATAATCTAGAACGTGGTTAGTACGAGCAGCGGATAAGTCTCGGTCTAGGACTATGCTGTACATACGCCACATAGGTGAATCAGGTGAATGTCTTAACAGAATGCCTGTATTGAACTGAAGTGTTAACAACGATCTTCATTGATTCCTCAGTGTACAGTGGGGGCACTTTTCCCGGAGCGCGCGCGGATGCGAAATGAAGGAGGATCCAGAACTGTGTGAGCGCCTCCGGATGTAGAGTGGTAATAGCATGTCGAAGACGTTCTCGAACATCAAGTTCGGTCCCATTGGTTCGAGTTCTCCGCGTCTTTCAAAAATTCCATTTCAAGTGATCGGGGTGGCACTGCACGTGCACAACACCATTGCGAGCACTTGATTATCTGGGACGTGAAAATATATACTGTACCCATCTGTATGGGTACAACCGTAACGTGTAACGCAGGGGTGGTTTGGTTGCTAGCAGTAACGCGTAACGCATAGCAGTAGTTGCTTTCCCTTAAGGAGTGTTACATAGTTTTACGCGAGCATTATATTATATAAGACAATTCAAGTGTAGTTTTGTTACTTTTGTATACTACAAGTGTTAGAAAATTTGAAAAACTTATTGGATTGTTACGATTGAATTTATATACTAATACTAATGTAGTATAGTAACTTCCGGCAACGTCCGTCTGGTTGTCTGTATTAGCAACTGTAACGCGTCCACATAGTTAGGTTTCCAATTTCCACCGGTAACGCACTCTGCCTGGTTGTACCCATACAGATGGGTACAGTAATACCAAATGATACTCGAAAAGGTTCCCCAAGTACGTTCTGCTCTTGTGATTTAAAGAAACTTCTCCACACAATTCATCCTGAATTTAGCCAATGCTTCCACTGCTGTTCATGTGGAAGCACTGTCCTCGAGGCGGTGCAAATTTTCTTTATTCAGTGCACCGCCTCTTTTTTTCCGGATACGCGACATGAGACCAAAAGATTTGTTCTACTCCTATTCCTGGATCAGATGTCGTACCGGAAGACCTGCACCACTGTAGCGAACTGGCCCTTCTTTAGAGACAGGTCGCCTTGACGCGGATGTCTGAAGATAGGGAACAAAGACTGCGAGTCTGGACTCGAGCTCACAGACAGAACACGCATTTAGGCTGTATCACCGTTTCCCAAAGTCTCCGTTGATATCGCGCAGCATGAACGGTTCATCTTATCCGATGCCTCGCGAATCTGGATCAGGAAATGAGAAGGAAAATCTTCCAGCCAGTGTTTGATCGGTGGCACCTAAGCTTATGGCTAACTGAGGCGCTGAGCTCGGGGTCATCCTGCCAGGGGGCAGTGAGGACTTTTGGCCATAGCGTATCTATTTTGGGATCGCCCATAATGCTCCGTATAGTTCAGGCCAATCTTGAAACGAACGTGGTCCGCTATAGTATTGATTCTAATCGAATAGGAAATGCAAGTTTTGTTTATACCGTGGGTTTGGTCTGCCTTTATCCTATACTTTAACTACTGCAAAGGTATTGGGATTCCTGCCCTCCTCTACTGAAATATGGCCGGCGGCGACATCGAGAAGCAGTCTGGTTCAGTAGATGATTCTGGAACTCAGATCCCAGCCCCAGAAGTCGAAGAACCGACAAATCTGCGCTCTGTAGCATTTCCAGATGCCCAAGGCGACGCTATTGCAGATGGCCAAGAACATGGACACCGCACCCGTGGCGTAGACCTGCGCCGAGAGCTAACGATTGAAGAAAAGCAGCTCGCTCAAGCCGGATACGACGAATATGACACCAAGTCAAAAACGAAAGGTCCGACTAAAAAGTCTAAGGCCAAAGGCGCCGACGTCGAGAGAGTCGATATCCATGAGCACAAGCTTACGGTTAGTGCCCTTGCTGCGGAACTTCAGACATCTTTAGACGCGAGAGAGCCAGGAAAATCAGCAGGGCTTACAGAGGCAGAAGCACGGGCACGGCTTGAGAGAGACGGCAAGAATGAGCTCTCACCACCAAAGAAGAAGAGTGCACTGCGCATGGTAGGCTCCTTTCCCTCCTCAAGTAATGTGTTTATGCTGATGAAACTTCCAGTATATCGACTGCCTTTTGACGATGTAAGTCTTTATCAGCGCCGTATCAAGACTGTGGTTGACTCAATGTCTTGTGCCAGGTTCAATATCCTCTTGATTGTTGCTGGTATTCTCGAGTACGCTCTGCTGGGGATAAACTTCAAGGTAGGCTCGTCTTCATTTTGACTTACATCTGCCCGACTGACAACGGCTATAGGCTAATTTCCAGAATACGTACCTCGGGGGTATCTTGATTGCGGTGGCGTTCCTCAACGCATTCATCGAGTTCTACCAGCTACAGAAGAGTGCCGCCATCCTAGCTTCTTTCCTGAAAATGATTCCGCCCAGTTGTCGCGTGCTTCGTGGAGGAGGACTGATTACGATCCCGGCAAGCGATTTGGTTAAAGGAGATATCGTCCTCATTGTAAGTCGTGTTGCTAAACAACCCACTAGATATACTAAAGTGGCATAGCGTATGGGAGATAAGACACCTGCAGATCTCGTTCTCTTCTCGGCAACGGAGGTGAAGGTAGATAACAGCAGCCTCACTGGAGAATCAGAACCCCAGGAACGTCGAGCGCTCCCGGAAGGCTCACAGGCTCGCCCTGTCGAAGCAGAGAACCTTGTAAGCTTTGGTTTGTATAGTCATGATAGTTGATGTTCGACGGTGCCTCTTGCTACAGGTCTTCAACTCGACACTTACACTAAGTGGCGAAGGATGGGGTGGTATGTATACGACACGATGCTCGTTAAAACGCTAACCATCTTCATCCATAGTTGTCGTCCGCACGGGAGACAATACGATGATAGGTATGTTAGTTTCGAGTGTTCGTGTGCTGCTCTTACTGAAGCGTTTTTAAAGGTCAGATAGCTGCCTTGACTGGCGGTGAGAGCGGAAACAAGAGCCCGCTTGCCGTAGAGATGTACGCCCCTCCACCCGATTCGGTCTTACGATTCTAACTGAATCTGCAGTGGTCGCTTCGTCGTTATGGTCTCATCAATTGCCCTCGTATTCGCCATTGTATTCTTTGCTGTTGGAATCACAACTGTGTATAACGGACAGGCTGCGGCTACCGTAACCTTTGCCGTCTCTGTTCTCGTCGCCTTCGTCCCAGAAGGCCTTCCTTCTACTGTGACGCTCTTGTAAAACATTATCCTATCCGACATTTCCAGTAGGAGCTAAAGCACATTGATATAGGCTTTCGATCGCTGCCAAGCGCATGGCGAAACAGAATGTCTTGGTAAAAGATCTGCAGGGAGTTGAAACCCTAGGTATCCTCAGTGTTAAACAGCACCCTTTTACTGCATGATTAACCTAAATGAGCAGGTTCGCTCACTCTTCTGGCGACCGATAAGACCGGGACATTGACGCGAAATCAGATGACGGTCACTAATGTATGGAGTGAAGGGAAGATGTACACGGCATTCCAGGTATTACAAATGGTATCAAATCTTCTCTGCAGGCTTATAATAACTATTTGCCACTCAGTCGAACAACGATGATCCTGATACATCACCCTTCGACATTGGAGTCTCGAGCTTACGAGAGTTAGTTGATGCTGCAGCCCTCAACTCACGCATCAAGTTCGATCGCACCGACGTGCCGTTTAGTCAACGTGCAATACTCGGTGACGCGACGGAGACAGGGCTCGCTCGCTTTGTAGGGAAGTATATTTCGGATTATGATGCTCATCAGGAGAAACATAGAAAGGTTTTCGAAGTCCCTTTCAACTCAGCAAACAAGTGGGCGCTTGTGATTGTACGTTATTCGTCGTTCATCACATTCTCTTACTGAAAGCAAAATTTATACAGGTAGATAAGGAGCATGCAGACGGACGGCTCACCTTGCTTATAAAAGGTGCTCCTGAGCGAGTCTTGAAGAAATGCTCTACATACATGAAGGACGGCGAACTAGTGTCTGTCACGGACGAGTTCCAGGAATCGTATGAAAGAGCATATGACGTCTGTACATCGTACCTCCTGCCATTTGTACGCATCCCTGACTTATTTGTTAGTACATGGCTTCTAGGGGACATCGCGTCATTGCCTGCGCACAGCTTCTCCTGCCCGAAACCCAATATCCCTCGGACTACGCATTCTCAAAGACTGATTACCCTACCGACGGGTATTGCTTCCTGGGCTTGATATCGTTGGAAGATCCCCCAAAACATGGCGTTCGCGAAGCAATAGGCACACTTCGTCTGGCTGGGATCAAGGTTATGATGGTTACCGGTAAGTGTCTACATTCTTTAAGAATTGCCACTTGAAGAGAATTTCCTCACAAATTTTTCTTAGGCGATCACCCCAAGACAGCAGAGGCCATAGCACGCAAGATAAATCTCATTCTTGGAGATACGAAAGAGACGCTCAGCGCGAAGACTGGGAGAAATGTCGATGATATATATGATGACGAAGTCCAGGCGGTAGTCGTACATGGAGATGATATTGACAAACTTCAGGGTTGGCAATGGGATAATAGTACGTTGTGATTTCTTTTTACCAACTATCCACTGTTTAACATCGCATTAGTATTTAGCAAGCAAGAGATAGTCTTTGCACGCACTTCTCCTCAGCACAAGCTTGAAATTGGTAAAGTTTAACAGAATGGATGATGTACCCGTGGCTAAGTAGGTCTACTGCAGTTAAACGCGCTCAGGCTCTCGGGCATATTGTGGGGGTGTACGTACTTTAACTATTACTCGTATACCATTGGCTAAACTTTGTCATTTGTACCAAGAACCGGTGATGGTGTGAACGACTCTCCAGCACTTAAGAAAGCGGATCTCGGAATAGCGATGAATATGTCTGGCTCCGATGTGTCTAAAGAGGCGGCGAACATGGTACTTCTTGGTGAGTACCTAAATATTCATGCGCTGTGTTTGCCTTGGAGTGAATTAACTGTTGCCATTAGACGACAATTTTGCATCGACAGTTAGTGAGTAGCGGGAGCAGAGGTTATTGAATTCCAATTATCCTGACCATGTCATTATAGAAGGAGTACAAGAAGGGCGCCAGATTTTCGTGAACCTGAAGCGATCCATCCAGTAAGTCATTGAACTGGTACGATGTTGCAGCTTCTTACATTTACCAGGTACACAATTTCTCATTCAACACCTGAGGTCATCCCGCAACTCCTATACGTCGTAGTTCCTATCCCCTTACCTCTGTCTGCTATTTTGATTTTGGTTATTGGTAAGCAATGGTCTTGCGCAATGGTTCTCGCAAACCTCATTTCATGCTGTTAGATTTGGGCTTCGAGCTTTTCGTCGCGGTATGTGATCATACAATCCTGGCGCGTGACATTTTTAATATATGTGGTATCAGCTATCCTTCGCCTGGGATCCACCCGAAACAAAAGATGGGGTCATGCGAATGCCTCCGCGGAAACCTGGTGAGGCTTGTTCTGTAGTCTCTACCTTCGAGTCACTAATTTAGGGATAAAGTCAACGAGTCGTCAATAAATAGAATCAAGAGGCGAGCCCTGCGCCGCGCGCAGAGTGTTCGACGTGATATTGAAACTCAGGAAGTAATACAACCAGGAAGATTGACTTCATTAGTTTGGACGTTACGAAAGCCTTTCACTGTTAAATTCTGGGAAGACAAATTGGAGCAGACAGATGATGAGACACTGGTAGATGCGAAGTTGCTGAGCTACTCATACCTTGAAGCAGGGATGATAGAGATGTTAGGATCGTAAGTCCATTTCGTTTAACTTCTTTTTTTTAAAAGTAGCCTCATCGTGAGATAGCATGGTCGCCTACTTTGTTGTTTTCTTCAAAAGTGGTTTCTCACCGTCTGACCTTCGGAAGGCACAACAAGCAGCAGGAAGTGATAACCCATTCTTTACCAAATCCTCGCCCGATTTCACCAACCATGTTGGACGTGCTATCTCTGCACAAGAGCAAGTTGATGCACTTGCCAAAGCACAGTCAATTGGTAAGTGATTCAGTCTTATGTGTGACTAAGCTCTAATACTCGATCCTGCTAGTATACCTTTCCATTTTCATCATGCAATGCTTCAATGTAAGGTGTCCCTAGCTTTATCTACTAGCTTAACTTATGTTTGTTTGCAGCTCTTCGCTGTCAAGGCCAAGTTCACGTTCCCCTTCGGGCGCCAGGTAGTCAGCAACTACTACAACTTTTTGGGAATTCTTGGTGGTGCCTGTCTCGGAATGTTCATTATATACACGCCGCCGTTGCACGTTGTATTTGGAGGCACCTTCCGCCTTTCTCCCCTGTACTGGCTCATTCCTGTCGCATTCGGGGTGTTGTTATTGGGATGGGCTTCGATTCGTGTATTGTTAATGAGGAAGGGTATCGAACAGGCGCGTGTAAAGGATATTAAGGGACTCATGATGTGTAAGTCTCGTCAGCCTTATTCTATTCAATCGCATCTTACAAAGTTTATCAGTCCCAACGATGAGAACGATGAGCATGCGCTCAGGTGGACGTACCAAATAATCGATGTTGGGTGTGCATGTGCAGGTTGGCGTTAGCGCGAAGAGCGTTGAGGGTCTGGGAGTGAACAATGACATGGAGACATTCGAACATTATGGAAAAATGGAAAAATACCAATGCGCATCTGATCCATGCTATGATTACGATGATGTACGATCCCGTCGAGTATATACACGGATATAAGCATTTCCATAGAACTTGTTCGCACATAATGATTCAAGAGCGCTTCTCACTCGACATATAGATAACAATGAAATATCTAAGCGTGTATATCTATATCAGACATACGAGAATATCGTCTGATGCATAGACCATGTATTAGCCCATATGATTCAACGGTATAGGAAACAGATGATATGAGAGATATGATGTGCCCGTGTCAAGACAGTCACGAGACTCACGACAGGCAAACTTGAAGTTGAACGCGGCCATATCATCGTATCGAACTCTTCACCCAGCATCCTCGACTAGCGCTGTCAACCAACCTCTCACTATGTACCATCTCCGCGAATGTTCAGAACCCATGCGAAGCGTTTCGCCTGAATTCCGTACGGGAGTTGGTCTCAAACACCACCCTGCGTCGCTTTGTGCCACCATTTGGCTGCCACAGAATAGGCCGTATAGCATTGACGACGAGTAATCCTTTAAAATGGCAAAGCGTGGGTGGTGCCTCTTTACCTAGGGCTGTGCTAAATTTAACATCTTGTGTAAACTATTTATAGATAATAGTAATGGTTTTTATAAGACGATGCCGCCACGTCGATGATCACTATCGACTAATGTTGTTGCCGGAAATAGTTGGTTGAAAACACCCTGTGTCATTTTTGGATGTCCGTCAAGCCCCGGGTGTCTGCTATCGCTGCATTCATTCATAGTTCCCAATAGTGAATCCTCTGTTTTATCATCCCGACTTGCTGGCTAATGAAACTACGCAGGCAAAGCTTGCATATGCTGCTACACATGCGTAGCCTATTGACAATTGAGCGTCCTCGCAGTCTCCGTGGAAAAGAAAAGAAAATATCGACTTCTGGACGCTTTCGACCAGATCCCCTCGGTGTGCCCCGATAGTTGAGTCGATGGAGGAAGCTAGGTGGGTTCGCGTATATGCACAACTACACTAGTTACGCGTTCTTACCCCGCGGATTATACACGGTTTAACAAATTAATTATTCTTGTCATCCATGGTGTGCCTTTCAAAGTTGCTGTGCTTCTCCGGAAATACGAGGGCTTTAAGCGGTAATGTTTTCGGACGCAAGAAGTGCGTGCGGTTTAGGAATCCGGTACTTGGTCACACGCGAATCTTGCTCCTTGGTACTCAGGATGTGCTCGACGGCTCACTTCGAACGATATCATTATGCCTTTCGTCAATTTGTCTGAGCTCGAATCGACGGATATCGACTACGTTGTGATAGGAGGCGGGACCACAGGCTTGACGCTTGCTTCACGGTATGCTTCAGCACGACACTGCAGATCGTCACGTTGAGCATCTCGCAGATTGTCTGAGATTCCCGCTATCACTGTGCTTGTCATTGAAGCAGGAAGCTACCATGGCTATGACCCAGAGATCGACATCCCTGGTACACAAATTCAATGAAACGAGTGAGAGTGTTATCTTCTGCTAATGTAAACCCATCAGGAATGCTTGGACGAACCGTTGGAAACCCTAAGTATGATTGGTCATTCCTTTCGGTTCCTCAGAAGCATGCAAATAACAGAGTCATTCCTCACCCACGAGGCAAGGGTCTCGGTGGATCTTCCTTGGTAGGAGAGTCCTTTGAATTCTGGATGTAAATTGCTCATGCCTGTGCTCTAGATCAACTTTATGGGAATGTTCCACCCATCCAAGTCAGAATGCGATGCGCTTGAGAGACTGGGAAACAAAGGGTGGAACTGGGATTCCCTCCTACATTACATGAAGAAGGTGAGGAGTCAGCACCGCGCCACCAACCTTTTCATTATGTTCTTGATGTATTCGCAATTAGAGCGAAACTACAATTCCGACAAATGTGCTGTCGGAGGAGCAAGCTAAACAGTTTGCTACGGCCAAACATCCGGATCCCAGATACTATGGTACAGAGGGTTCGTAGTTTCGCGTAGGATATCAATCGCAGCCGCATAACATATCGATCGCAGGACCCATATTGAAGTCAGTCCTGAGAGGCTGGACGGACGCGCATGCAAGGTTCCTTGCAGCAGCCGAGACACGTGGGATACCTAGGAACCCAGAAACTGTAAACCACACCTCAGATTAGAATTCACTCAAACAGTAAATTTCTCTGATTGAGAAAATGCATGTTTCCAGGGCGCCGGCATTAACATTGGCGGTATCTCGACGTATTCTTCGGTGGACCCTCGAACTGCAACTCGCTCATACGCTGTCACTGCCTATATGCAGCCGAACATTTGGCGCAGAAACTTTCTTGTGCTAACGGACACACAAGTGACGAGAGTGTGTGTTTCTCACACGCCTTGTCTAGTCTTGACTAACCAGTACCTGCAGGTCATGTTCGGCGACCAAACCAGCAGCCCACTTCGGCAGGCCACTGGAGTTGAACTCTTGCGAGATGGCACTATATGCCGTATTGGACCGGTTAGAAGAGATATTATCCTTTCTGCTGGTAGTGCAGTCAAACCGTTCACGTATTCCTGCTAATGTTCTTCCTAGGCACGTACAAGACTCCACATCTTCTGGAGCTATCGGGAATCGGAAACTCGGAAATCCTTGGGCAACATAATGTTCAATGTGTTGTTGATCTTCCTGGGGTGGGAGAAAATCTGCGTGCGTCCTTCGCCCCATATCCGTAGGATATGTCACCGATGTCATCACTCGCTTTTAGAGGATCACATCGCTGTCGCGACCATTGCAGAAATCGAAAATGGCGATGAAACATTCGACGTGATGAGAGATCCTGCGTTGTACAAGAAACATGAAGAGCTCTAGTCAGTATATATTGGACAGACTCTTCGATGGGCTAATACTCTTGCAGTAAACAGCACCAGGGACACTTAGCCTACGGTCCAATCTCAGCTCATATATTTCTGTCGGCAAAGCAACTCGGAACATCAGAGGACATCAGCTCTTGGGAGTGTCAGGCGGATTCCGCGTTCACAGAGAGTCTTGCGAAGGCTATGCCTTCTTTGAAACCAGGACTGGAGAAGCAGTATAGTCTTCAGAGACAGTTCATCGAAGACAATGCGCAGGCAGTAGCAGAGTAGGTCGAGTGCTGGTATGAACTGGCTGCAAGTGCTAATGATATTCTAAAGGGTTCTGCAATATTTAGGTCATCCGCAAGTACCTAATTCAGCTCCCATTCCAGGGAAGAAATACACCAGGCTGTCAGGAGCCTTGATGCATCCGCTCTCTCGAGGATCTGTTCACCTTGCCTCTCCGGACCCCTTGGTTGATCCGAATATAGACCCGAATTATCTTTCAAACGAAGCTGATCTTGATCTGCTCGTCCACATTGTGAGATTCGTCCTTCAATTCTACGATACGCCGCCATTGCGGGACATTGTGAAATCTGTGGTACTACCAAGGGAAGCCGAGCTCAAGAGCGATGCAAGCTTGGAAGAGTACATTAAACAGTTCTTCATCCCTGTCTATCACCCAGTTGGAACAGCGGCGATGCTTCCTCGCGATGATGGTGGTGTCGTTGATGAGGATCTTAAAGTTTACGGAACTTTTAATCTTCGTGTCGTGAGCGGTTTCTAGGTATTCAGACCAGAAATAAGGCTGAGGTCATTACTTCCAGGCGGACCTCTCTATCCTACCTCTGGTATGAGAAAAGAATTTGTCCCGTGCAGAGAAAAGCTGACGTCCGTCATAGGAACTATCTTGCCACACGCAATCCGTTGCATACGCCATCGGCGAAAAGGTTAGCAAGCTAATTTTGCTAGATAAAGACTTATTTTAAAGGCACATTTGCATGATCAGGTAGCAGATATGTTGAAAAACGAGTGTCTTCAAGGGTAGCATACCGAACTGGCGGCAAGGTAAGCTACTAGATAAAATGCTGGACTCGTGCCCTTCATAGGAAGTCATAAAGCTAGCAGATTTTTCTTAGGGGGCTCTTTTCTGACAAGAAGCATTTTCAGTGCTAATTGAGTGAGGATATCCACGTAGAGACACTTAAGCAGTTGAAAGGCGTAGTAATAATGGCCTCGAGAAGTCAAATAATGACTAAGCGCACAAGACTAGCTTCAAAGACGTCGTGACAATATGTTGTGTTGGATGAGATATTCATCCAACTGTTCTTCAGCGTACGTCGCCCAGATGAGACAGTGAACGGAATGAAGTTGAGAGAGAGAGAGCTGATTTGGAGGCAGCATAAGCATGGCTGAACATCATGGCAAGCAGTAACAGACCACGTCAATAGTGCATATATGCAGCCAATATCTAAGTGGATATATGCATCCATTGGTGGTTCTGCAAGCAACATGATTCTCTCATGATACGTGCCAGCACATGAGCCATGGCGCCTTTCCGGGGCGCAAACAGACATGAACTGGGTACGGTATTTGCAAGAAGGTTAGATACTCACATTGTTGTTACCTCTAATTACTCTGTGCAGCTGAAAACAGGGTGTGGAGCACTTCGTACAGCCCAGTAAGCTGATGAGGAAGCTCGTACGCGTTAACTAGATACCAAGAATTTTGACCTCAGAGACTTGTCGAGCAAGTCAAGACTGGCCTCAGCAACAGAGAGCTGTTGATTAGAAACATAAGTATGCCGTATAGTGTCATACTGGAGCATACGTCGACTGCAGACGGCGAGGAGTCCGTCGTGTTTCTCGCTGTAGCAGGACTGTGATGGAAGGACGATGAGACGTTGAGGGCGAACATTTCGCTGACTGACCTGTGGTGGTTCGTAACGGCCTCGGCACCTCGGCTGAAAGGCGTAAGTCTGGTGAGATTACGTACGTAAACTCCTTTGACGTTTCCCCTTTTGGCTGCAATCTCTTCCATTGATCAGCATGTTTGGCAAAAAAATTTATGACTTTATTGCCAGTGATTACATTTGAATATCTATATATAATTGTGCAGCACATTAAAAACCCATCATTCATACAAGGCTTATATAATGACTATTCAGTATTCTTTATCCAAGGTTTATCTTCAATTGGCAATAACTAATAAAGCTCACTTAAGGCAACTTTGCTTGAATTAATGCTAAGTGTCTTAGAGCCAACAGCTGGTTGTATTGAGAACATTGGATACATACAGTAAAGTTAATAATTCAAAAGGTTACTCTTTAGTATACTATTCAGAGTAATCAAGACTGAAACACTATAATTTTCTATTCTAAAATTAAGAGTGTGTATTTACAATACTGTAAAACATAGTATCTAACTTGTTTAAACTATATTAGAAACAAGCTAAACTGTACTATTAGATTAAGTTGTTACCTTTTTGTTTACAATAAAATGCTACAAATCTGAGAAGTTGATTTAATAACCTATACTTTAGTCTTCTATCTCTTTACTATTATTTCTTATCTTACAGTTAAAAATTATTTACAAACTTGAGTAGTAAAATGTCCTACTCATTATATACTACTTTCCTGTACTATTACTGAAGATAATTGGCAATATTGTATTTATGTAAGCTTGGTAGCTTACCACATGTGAACGGCTACTGTTAGGGGGCAGTACCTCAATTTGGTAACATGTGCTTATATAGAGTGCAGGGTATGGATCACTGATCAGTGATTATACTGGCCTTTTGGTGTAATGGTTGACATTGCTGCACTGGTGTTGACAAGGATTACAATTTATCTCTGTTTTATTCATATTGTATGACCCTTGAACAAACACATTGTAAAACACATACTTAATATTTACTACAGAGATAGATTCAGTCAAGAAAGGTTAGATAATACTTTCCTTTAAGTGCAAAAGTGATAATATTATTGCAATCAGTGATTTTGTGCTGAGAACATTCATCTAAGTAATTCTTGACAATTATGGGAAAATGAACGTGATACACTTTATTGACACTTGGTACATTTACACAGAGTGCTATCCAACAAATCAATTTCCTTGTATCTTTTCCTCTTCGGATTACTTGATTACAGAAGCCTGAACAGAGCACGCCCGACAAAGACATGGTCATACGGTCGTAAATGATTAGGGACAAATGCGTCAGAATACACGTCAAGCCTGTGCCAACGGTAGCAAAGATCAATTTGTCTCATCAATGTAAAGATCGTGACGGAATGTCAGTTATTATCGCCTTCACCTCCACACTTAGTGACTTCGAGAGTTGTCGTGGATCGAAGATAACCGTTAGGATCAATTCGAACTTCATCAGTTGCAAACTCGACCTGGACACTATAGTTCGCCGGAATGTTGTCAACGACAATGGACGTCTGATTTGCAAACTCTGGCATTTCGATACCATCCTTCCGCCAAGTGATGATGTACGCCTCTGAATGCGCAACTGGCTCCTCTCTGAATTGTGCCAGACGAACGAGTTTCACTGCTATGGACCTCTTCACGGATGAATCGTCGCCTAGGACGCATCCCGATGAAATGTCGTCGATTAAGTCCATACGCCGCAAGAGTGCATGCCACAACCCTTCAATACAGACTTTGCAGAATGTAGGAGTGGTGACTATGCGCATGAGACAATCTTCGTTTGTCGGCCGATATGTTGTTACGTTCTTTTCGGAGTACCTAAATAGAAAGTGGTGTCAACTTGCCTGCCTGAGGGAGAGCACAATACGCTGACGTCGGAAATGCGCCTATAAACCCGACAGTGTCATTGAACCTAAATGGCGTAAATCTTCGGAATACCGCATTCATGTTATAGAGGGAGAACTAACTCGGCTGAATCACCGAACTCGATGACCTCCATACTACATAACTGAGCGCCGCCCATAAGATCCGAGTTTTCTAAGTTGAACGAAAGACTGTGAGTGCCCGCTTCGAGTGTTTCATTGATGTGGATATCGTAATGCCAGCGATCTAAACCAAGTCCTTCCTTCGGATTCCAATGAAGGTTCTTGCCGTCAAGCATGACCGTTAGATCATCTTTCTTTGGTAGGCCCGAGAGAGAAAAGCGAACGACGTAGCGCGAATATAGCCCTGGATAACTATCAGCGAGGCCGACGCTCAAGACACGTTGGTAACACACCCGAGGAATCGAAGGTGACGGCCCAGGGTTTGGAGTCGTTCAGCATAGTCCATGGATAAGCCTGAATAGGCATCACGGAGCGCTCCTCACGCGGAACAGCTGCAGTATTATCAGTAAGCCAGTGTTGCCACTTGAAAGGTTGTGTCAGGTTTGCAGCATTGGGGCCATGGTAAGCAAATCCGCCATCATATTCCTCCCCCTCCCCAATCACAGAATGCCCTAGTTCGTGTCTGAGGTACTTGAGACTTAGGAAGGCCCTGGAAAATCTACTTTGTATACAAACTCACCTGAGAACTAATGCGCCGTTGAGCTTTGAGGAAGTCGTTACTCTAACCACGTATGCTTAGACCCAACCCAAAAGAAAGCAACAAAGATATACTACGCACGTGAAACGACCACCGAGTCCTGTATCTAGGGTCAGAAAACCCTCAAGTACAATTTTGGTAGCTCACCTCCATATAGTGGGTCATTCCCTTGTTATGACGTGCGTCAGTATATAGGCATGCGAAAATCCATCATTGCTTACCCAAAAGGATCGGATAGTCGCACATATCGCCCATTGAAAGACAAGCCGCGTGAGCAACTTCAGGCTTCGCATAATAAACGACTCGGAGCTCCGTTCCATTCCGATATAATCCGAAAGGAGTACTTGAGTAAAGCAGTATGAGCAGTACGTGAAGCCAGCTAATAATGCAAGGCGTACTCGTTTACGTTTCCTCCCACTCCGATGCCACTCTGGACGAAATATTAGTTTTTATCCGGTTGGGATCCCTGGTCAGATCCTAACCTCATTGCTCGGTGTGAATGCTGCCCAAAAGTTTAGCAGCGGTTTGACGGTCGCGAACGTTTGATTGTTCGATAGATCAAAAGCTAGCCTCTTCGCATCTTCAACAAATTTGCTCTTCTCGTTTTTGGTATCTTCCGTGGCGTGTCACATATGAAATAGTTAGTTGAAAGGTGGTGGCTCACAGCCGTCTCCAAAAAACACAAAATCAATGCGGTTCGACGACGGTCCAGACGAGATCAGTGGCACAATGTCCAGTCGAGGTGCAGGCACAGAATGGTATACAGACTCCGTATCCTCTGTTACCACGAGAGTGGCTTGGTGCGTGCCCTGAAGATGTGCATGTCTCTCTGAGGGAACTTCAGGCGAGATGTACACCGGGAAAAACCAGGAATCTTGAGATCCACAGTGCAGGGTCGCAGAGTTCCAAAGTTGGTTGACATCGGACGAGACGTAGCGTATATAGGAAGCTCCAAACATGTAATCTTCTCCATCAACGTTGAAAAGACTCCCAGAGGTCGACAGTGCCGCATTCACGTCGCTCGATAGGTCCTTGTGCGTCTGCGTCTCACGGAGCGAAACGAAGTTGCACCGACTAGAGGCTGCAATTGGCGAAAAATGTATCTCAAGTTCATATGGACGATTAAATAGTTCTGCAAGGCATGGAGCCGCTACAATCCATGGCAAGAGCAGCATCAGCATTTTGACAAAGAAGTTATAGTCACTGAGTCAGTAGAGAACCGTTTGGACGCGATAGTCAACTCTCCGTCGCTTTCAGTTGCTGACTAATAAGCAACAATGACATCATATTGCGATGCGAATGACCAACCTTGTTCGTTTGACCAAGTTGAACGGTACAGACAAATTAGCTATCAAAGTAAAGCTACAGACAAATAATGTTTTACCAAGATGTGCCGCAGAACTTCAAAAGTATGCGCTTCTTGTTCTCCTAGGGTTAAAGACATGACGTCTGCAGCTGACTAGACTACAAGTTCAACATGACTTCTTCACGGAAATACTCGGCAGGCATCTTGTCTTGAACGACTAGGTTGCACTTCAAGGCGGAGAACGCGTACTTGATTCCGGGGCTAGTGCAAGCAAATCGTTTGTATTTCCAACTCGCGTCGTATTGACATTCAGGACCGTGGTCACTTGATCTGTCGAGAAGTCATGGAAAGTGTAGAGCTACTGGGAATCGACATTTCGAGTGAAATATTTCCGGAGAAGCCACCTAGGAATGTCAGGTTCTATGGAATGTCTGCGACGAATCTACCAACTGAGAAAGCAAACTCCTTTAATCTTATTATCCAACGTATGCTTCTCGGTGCTTTTACAGAATCTCAATGGCGAGCTGCGCTCCGTGAGATTCTGAGTGTCCTCAAGCCTGGAGGAGCCGTGCAACTATTGGAGACCGGACTGTACGATTCAGTTTACGGCTCGATTTCGATTTCTGCTACAAGAGAAGCGGTAGAACCTCCCATTGCCGTCATGGACAAGCGTGGTCTACTCGGCGTCGAATGCGGAAATCGATTACCCGCGATACATAGTGAAGTGGAGTTCTCGGACGCACGAGCTGAGGCGCATAGAGTTCCAGTTGGAGAGGAGAGTGGGGTGAGCTAGGAATAAAAGGCGCGCGGAATTCAGAAGCACTCGTCCGTGTAGTCGGTACTGCGTTGTTAGCGTTCGGCGGCCTTGGTGTGTGTAGCTCGCAAGCTGAAGTCGACGAATCATTGAACGCGCAAAGAAAGAATGAGTGGAGGACTCAGGTGTCTTTCTGCACTTTTACACTATAACTGCTGTCATATTGGCACGATGACTACTCTGCTAGAGAAACCACTATAGCTAGCCTCGGTAGAGAAACGTTGCTATATACCTCAGTCGTAGGTCCCTTCACTGCATGGTATATCCATCGGAGAGCCTGCGCTCTTGTGTTGGCTTCTAAGTGTGCGAGAAACACCATCAATCTGTATTGTAACACTCACGCGCTGAAATCGATGTACACCAAATGGTCGCACGAGGATCGGAGACGAAGACCAGCTCCCACGGCTGATTACAACCTCCTTAGAGATGACTTCGCGCATCCGACTGGAAAAATCCGAGATTTCACTTCCCATCCGGATCATGAGGACGCAATCGCGAACGTCACTCTCCACGTTGCTTTCTCATCGACGAATACAAAGGATTAAAAACGCCTTTAGCCTTGCCGAGTGAACCTGCGGATCTTTTCGCTCTACACAATAGGTAATGCGCCAGCATGTACATGAGGCTCTCAATATATCTTCTTCGGTTCAAGGTTTAGAATAGCTCCCACTGCCACGTCCCAAAAGAACGTCCCAGGCAATGGCAAACTATTGAAGCACGAGGAGTCACCTGCCACATTGGACATATTAGCTACATAATACAGTGATTGTTCTGTATGTAATGTTCTCGGGATGAAAAGCAAAAATGAAAAAAATAAAAATGAAAGGTTTGTTAGAAGTGGCCTGATGTTAATGGTCCGCAATGTGGAAAGCAGCCGGAAATGCTGCTGAGAGATGAAAGCGAATCAGATTGACATGACGACGCACTACAAGGTCAGTCGTAGTGAGGAGGACCGAGAATGGATGCGCATGATGGTTAAAGAACGTCCGGGTTTATTAGATCGTAAGCGGGCCAGGAAAGAGACGGTGTGAATGAGCCTGGCCACGGGTATATACGTAAGGAACGAAAAGGGGTGCCGTGTAAAGTCAGGATCGGCCTGGAGAATCTGTTGGTGTGACGGGTGATGAGCCAACAGTATCGTCGATCAGCCTGCTGTTAGACTTTCGCTCGATGTCAGCAACGGAAGATGTATCAGCATCCGTCTCGATGTACTGAGTAATTTCGACAGCCAAGGATTTCATTTCAAAGCGAGAATTTGCAGGATAACTTGAGCTCGGTCGGACTCGAACATTACCGTTTTGGCTGGAGGGGTCTATCGTTGTACCTTGTACCGTGGTGTTGACAACAGGTAGGCGTCTGTCAGTGGCAAACCCAACTCTGATGATGATCATATTGAAGACAATGCAGATAATCGGCGAGATCTGTGATGCTGCTTAAGTACTGATCAAAGTACGTGATAGGTTAATTAATCACATACCATATCAAGGAGAACGTAGACACCTGGCGAATTGACGACAAACGTTACCAGTGCTGCAATGATGGTCATAGAGTATATTGCCCCAGACTCAATGATGACTCGAAGGACAGAGGCAAGTCGGCCAGAAGCTCTGTACCTCGAGACCTCCCGATTCACCCGCCAAATGCGATATGCGAGAAGGCCTGGCGTCAAAATTTTCAGCAGTTTGTAGTCGTTTTCATTACATAGCACTCACTAGTCGCAGTTACATTCGTAACCAGCGTCAAGGAATAGACTATGAGGACCCAATCACCAGTCTCTTTTGCAAATACATCGTCCTTATGCTCGGCGGCGTTGGTAAAGGCGATATTAAGGCGAATACTCGAGGCTATATCCCGCGGGCATCAGTGGGATATCCATCACACACTCATTTACGGATCTACGTACCAAGTAACGTGAGCCAGCCCAGTACCGGGATAACTATTATGTATAGCTTCTTCCAGACAACGTAAGTACGATAAATCTGTGGAGGACATTAGAAAACCATTGCTTTATTACTTCTCTCGTTAACAGAACGCACGACAACACCGTCGAGAATGAGCGTCTGAACATTGTAAAGACAGCTTTTAAAGATCCAAACGGGTTGGGTAATGTCGCCAAAGAACGCTTCTGGTCCGCCGGGTAGTTCAGGGCCGATATTGAGAAACCCTTGGCAGAGATGAACGATGTTCGCAATGAGTTCCTAGACGAAAAAAAAGAAAAGAGGGAATCACTAAAAAAAATTGTCTGCTTGGAGAAGAACTCTGGTCACCGCTGTCGCTAATAATTGTAATGAACACGCTGCAACTATCATTCCGTAGTTCAAACGCCGCCTCCGACGGTTCCGCAACAATATCCACATCGTGAGCATGAACATGAGTAGCGAGAAACCTACTGAATAGTTAGGACACCGCTTCCTCGACGGTGAAAAGAGTCTTTCATTCTACTTACCATAGAGCATGGCCTCCATCGTTGTCGAAATAATATTTGCCTCCCGTAATGACAGCATGTTCACGGAATGAGGAGCGGAAGGGAGTTGCAGGTGTGTTTGCACTGCGTCCGGTCTAAACGAGTGCCCTTAAATATCGGACTTCTCAGATACATGGGAGTAAGTCGCCAAGTTCAAGAAGCCAGTGGTAATTCGTCGATTCTAGCATTGAACGGAAGCTGTTGCCGTATGTGACTTTCAGGTATGAATAACGACGCGCGAACAGTATGCAAGAGCAACGAGTATCAAAGAGCGGATAACAAGGATAGCAGTCGATGCTACCCTTCAATTCCTCCCTTCCTCCCATCGCAAGTTGTGAATGACAGAAAAGGAGCGAAACCTGTCGGGTAATCAACCCCTGATGGTGTGTTGGACTATGTTTGGGTGAAACGTAAAAACACCGAGTATGGGCTTGTGCCTTGTGCACGTGACACATTAACTACTTCGCCAGCCTATCACTGAAGATGTTCTCATGAGCACATATACTGTGCAAGGTAAACTGCCGCAGAAGCAATAGGCTTTCGTTCTCGCGTTCGTCTTCCGCGCCGACTTCTGTGTGTTGGAAGGAGTATTATCGGACTGGTCGGCGTTCGCCTGTCGATCTTCAGCAGTCAGTTCATTCCGACTCAATTGTCTCCGCGGCCTTTTTTGTAGGATAGAAATTAGCGTGTCATACTAGATTCGGTGTGGTACATGCGTTCAACGTTGAACAGACTAGCACAGAACCGACGAGTGAACACGGACGTGTCACGTCGGACTATGCTGATTGACTTCTTTCCATCACCAAGTTTCGAGTTGACTTGAATGACTCAGGACGCTTTCTCTCGTAGCTGTGAGTTTACCATACTTATTCATGCTAATGTAAGTACTGCACAAAGGCCGTTAAGTATAAGCGTACGACGAAGTTGCCCAAGAAGCTAATTCGTTCGCATAGAGTCATGTCCCCTGACTGTCCTTGTACTCGGCTTGCAAAATGTGCCCTTGCATCATGTCAGTTGCGTCCGACTAAAAGCCTCAATTAGGAAAGGACAACTGTAACCTTTTCTCCAGGTAATCCATCATCATATGTGTGTGAAGGGATAGGAAATCACTGTTCACTGTGTCTCTCATTTCCGCACTCCGGGACAAACCAATTATGCGAACCAAGGAAATTATCAAGCTCTGTCCAATACTGCAGTTCTCGCCAAATTTCGGTCTGTCCTACTTGGATCGTAGGCATTGACTGCATAGTTGGCATTGCATTACAACGATGGCTCGCGACTTCTGTCAGAGTTCGTGCGAACACAACCACCTCTGTGGAAACAGTTTGTTGGAGTCATGCATGAAGATTTTGCGAAAATGTGTTTATTTACGATTAATCTTGACGTATTTCTTGCAGGCTGTGACGCACAGGAACTGGTGGATCGACGAAAAACCGAATAAGTAAGTATGAAAAGTTTGACCAGAGTAAACTCTTTACAGCTTGCGTTTGACAATATGAGTCATGTGACGAATGTCTTGTGATAATGCTTAGATAAAGAAGCATTTTATCTCATCTCAATTTGCGGCTGATGATTGTCAATGTCATTCTTCGACTTTCTGTTTACTTAATACTTCCTCTCTAGAGGTCTAGCGATACAGATTATTAAATATCCAGCATTTGCTATCTTAAAACTATACGTCACTCAGTGTGGACTCGTGTTGGCGTGTCTTAGCCGCCGACTTGTGCACGTTAATGGGATCGTTTTATGTCTATGTCTAAACGCTTGGGGATCATTGTTGTCTAATCATGGATGGCGAGGCAATATGAAGAGTGAACAGATTATCGAGAATGGTTGGGTATGCCTGTTCGCAACGTCATCATACTTCTTACTATTCTTACACGATTTGCGACAACTCGGTTTCTTTGCCACGGATCGTGCACATCACCACGCCTTCCACTTCAAACAAAGCTATATCATCGGCTCCTCTACTATCTGAGTCCCGCTATGTTTCAGGGACATCACCAAAGCGTACATGGAATATTTTAGAGGCTGCTACGGGAGCACCAATCGGCATTTGTATTCCTTGATAGAGCCTGGAATGTTGTGGATACCAGCAATGATAGTAGTCAAAATGAGTGCATACCCGCGGCCCTTAGTTTTGACACCGGAGAACTGATTCGTTATGAAGATGGGCCCCGTCGGTTATTGTGACGTCAACATATAACCACCATCTTGCCGTTCATCAACTCGAGTACAGAACATTGCGACCATCGCATCAAACATAGCGTGAATGCCTGTCTACGAGGTATTTCTTAGCGGGACGTTACTGCTCGCATCGCTGCTTTTGTCGGCATTGACAGTATTGAAGCCTGGGATGGGCTTCGAAATTGTGTACAGATTGTGATACGTGTAAATTCAATGGCTCTCCTTGTTTGACGTGTATCAGACATCGCCGTATGTATCAATAGATATGTCCCCAATTAAAATATCGTCAGTCCCACATATAATCTAACTAACATATATCTACAGGTTGCGTGTTCCCTTGATCCTGTGGTATCCTTGGACATAGATCCAATTATATATTCAGCTTGCGACAAAAACTTCAAAATAATCGGCAGAAATAAGATGAGGACAACACTAGATTGGTCAATTCGACGTACCGATTTAACGACCTTGGAATACGTCGAGGACGCGCTTGATAAACTGGGAAGCCTTTGGTTCTGTTACATGATCTACGAACCAGTCGTTTGTTAATAAGGCGATTAGAAAAAACGGTTCCCCCAAGTGTTCGTACCATCTAAGGTATAATCGCTTGGTATGCTGGCAGAAATACCACGTTGAACAAGGAGCGTGACTATGACTGACAGGGAGATTAAAGTGGTTGACTGGAAGAGTTGCATTGTAGAGGAGTGATTATTTTCCTTGGGTCAAGACAGCTCGAATTTATGGCCTTTGTGTGCTGTGTTGCACAGCGCGTAATGTTTTTATAGACGGCAGTATCAGTCTCATTATGATAGCGGCTTTGCGGAAACGCACAACTTCGTGAGAGTCACTCTCCGTAAAGCAGTGCTGTAAATGATACTTGCAACGAAAAAGGCCGATACATGCCTCCGAACATTTCATTTTTATCTTACCTTTGTCCAGTACAGCTTTCCAGATTCCGCACTTTGCAAATTAGGACAAACCGCCAAATGGGTCTATCTGGCTATGGTAACGATGACTCGCCTGTTCTCGACGGCCTTTACGAAATAAACCGACGGGTTCTGAGTTCCCGAAAGCTATGTCTACCAATGTACAAATATTAAATCGACGAAACAAGGACGGCAATGAATGCCCTACGTTGTCCCTAATATATGTATGAGGAATATCCAATATGTGTCGATATCCTTTCGAAGGTGTCACTGCCTTGATTGGTACTACAACTAAAACAGTCATGCAACTAGGAAGGTGGGCACTTAGTGCAGTCTGTCCTATAGGCAGTCAACCCTCAATACAGCGCTGTGGCAATTCGACGGAAAGAGCAAGAGTTCACTCTGATCTTTCGTATTATCTATATTTCTGCCAGCAAAAAGTTGAGACTCTCGGGGGTAGAGTGTAGGCACGGTAACACGCATTACCGTCGCATCAATAGTCGCTCGTAAAATAAGCAGCACTATCAACGCAGTACTAGTTTCCTGTCAGGAGCGGCAGATAAGGGCGCGGAATACATGTGTACATTAATGTTGCGATATATACGGTTGAAAAATAGACGGGATGGGAAGAAACATCTATTATGCACGTACTATAACTGAACCCACGAATCCACAGATAAATACTACGACGAGCCATGGTCTCATATTCTGCCATCTGTCTTGAGCAGGCTCCCAGGTTTCTACAATTTGCATTGGTGAGGAAAGGTTGTTAGTCTGAAATTCAGTCTGGTCCTTCGTGTCATCCGTCTGAACTTCTTGCTCCAAGACGTTCTCGTTCTCGGAGGTAGATTCCATGGGAGGGATGACACCGACTTGTGCAACACCGCCAAGGAAATCTGTTATGCGCACTTCGTTCAGCGGTCGTGGAAAAAGGTCTGAGCGCACTCCGGCGTGTGACTTGATCGAACGGTATTCAAATGTGGAGAACTTGAAGAAATTAATAAACGAGTGATAAACAAATATAGTCGTAACGAAAGTAGACGCACAAGGTCTTGCATTGAGGCATGGCTTGTTTTGTTTATGCCTTCCATGTATTGTAGGACGTGGTGAGTGAAACTGTCAATGACTGCAACACCGATGTCATTGTCATTTTCATGCTAAATATTTAATGTAAGTGAATATGGCAAAGTGATAGATTAGGGAATGTTATGTGGCGTACCGAATACGAATTCTCGCCTAGTTCAGAAGATCCCGTGGCAAGCACATTCGGGGAATAAATTTTGGAATACATAGTATTCGCTTGACACGTGTCGATCATGAAAAGTAGTTCATGGTACCTTTCAAAGCGTAAATGTTCGCAAAAGGGGTGAATGATTTGATAAGTACCTCTTCTTCTGCCACATTTGCTCGAACGCATCGGCAATGTCAAATGCACTGATCTCTTCGTTATCCTGGAACTTCAAGAATTCATTTCCACCGTGACCGGTCATATAGACGAAGACATTTGACCGTGCATCAGTCAATAATCGCTTGCTTCGTGGTACAGAATCATCTACCCGGCCTGTGAGAAGAATAAGCAAAACAAATTAAGAAGCATGTGAAGAAAAGAGTACCTGTAAGCAGTCGAATAATATTCTCCACGGTCACTTCATACCCTCTGTAGTCCACCTCGATATTGTCGCCATACAAGTCGATCTTGTGCCCCGAGCCAGCGTACACCGCACCGGGAAAATGATTCCGCGAGTTACACGCTGTATCATCGGCGAGCATGAGAATGATATTCGAGTCTGGAATCCCAAGGCGCTTTACCGTCCGGTACCTTGTTGAATTCGTGGCAACACAATACGCATGAGCATACGTCGAAAGCTAACTGTCGAACTACTTACATTCCAAGTGCATTCGACATATGCTAAACGTGCGCGTTAGCTCGCTTTAATGATGATCCTCCAAGCATGCGCACTCTGTAGTTAAACCAATAACGCGATGCGCTGACGAGTACGGCCCAGTTATTCGTGTGGTTCAAAGTTGCAGCCGCTGGAGCCTGTTGTTGAAAGAAGTTCTGCACTACATCATCCCTTTCTGCCTCGTCGGCTTTAATGCACGATGATAGTACTATAACTAGGAGGGTGAAAAGCAGAGCGAATGGGCGAAACATGAGACTGGTTGAGAAGGGGGATGAATGGTGGTGCACGGATTATGTAAAATGCATTACCACTAAGCATGTCCCGTGACCATGATTTCGTGCGAAAGTGAAACCTAGAACGCATGATGATCACATCTGTCTCGACCACACTTCTCACTCGGGCTCGAGTACATAGTCAAGTCAAAATGAGGCTCGGTGATAAGATCACTTGACATCACAGAACTTGACGTCACAGAACCTTCTTGCACAGGATTTGCCAGGAGTACTTGAATTGTTCACCACCAGCTCTCTCTTGTCCATATTGGAATGTTCCCTGCCGCCCCGGACATACGGCTCTTGAAAGAACGGAAAACGCGTATTTCGTCAATTTTTGTGCCCCGCAGCGTGCTTTTCGGGAAATTTAATCACTTTGGCTGTCTACACGATTCCTATAGGCCCTATTCCTTCCTCTATCCCGGCCTCTTGTTGAAAATTTTCAGAGCATAAATATCCAATGGGAGTCGTGTCAACTAAGGTAGAGGCATGATAAACTCGACAAGCTGCGTGACGCACGTGACTTAACCCTATTTGCCTTATGTAGCTTCAACAAAGTTGATCGAACTAGTACTACAGCAACCCTTATATGACACTTTTTTTCCCACAGAATAGTAGTTAATAGTCTTATTTATCATTCTGTGGAACAAATTTTCAATTTTCTCAAAATTGACTGAGTAGATACAAAAATACCTTTTTTTGTACTAAACACTGTATTCTTTGTTTTTGTAGAGTTTGGCAGTTTTTTTATTTTTTGCATCTTAATTTTGGCCACCCTTAAAAAAGAAATATATGACTAATACATGACTAATAATGCCAAATATGGTAAGACACTTATATTAGTCACTGTTATTTGTCAGAACTGTAATGTCTCAGAAGACAGATTGACACTCAATAGCAAAGTCAATCTATTAGCAAATGTAAACAGTATAGTCAACATGTCTCTATAGAAATTTGACATAAAAAATGGTGAAATAAGAGTCTTGATTTTTGACGTGGGGTCCCTGGCTTGGATTTTGGCCGCTAGGGTCCTTCCTAATATGGTAAGCGAGGGTTGTGACGGTGACGTGACAAGCTTGTCGAGTTTATCGCAGACTTGACTTTCCGCATCCAAGCCCTGAGTCTCACGGCCCTTTTTTGGACGACCCTGAATGGCCACTTACATAATACTTATGTGGTGGCTCTCAGACTAAGAAGTTAGGAGGGGGGGTTTGGGGGGGCAAAGCCACCCCAATTAGGTTTAGGATAGGTTGGGCTGTTAGGTTAGGTATTGGCTAGGCTTGGGGATAGGATTAGGGAGGGGAATATGTATTTTCATTAGAAAACTGACTTTATTTTGACTTAGTGAAATACAAGTTGGACAGTGAGTGGCCAATTCAGACTAACCAAAAAAGAGCTGTGGGACTCAGGGCTTGGATGCGGAATTGACGCAACTAGTTTATCGTGCCTCTACCTTATCTCTCTTTGTAGACCACTCATTCTTATCGGTCGTATACTTCTATTCTCTTTTTCGCTGGCGGTATATGTGCGCCCTATATCACCCCTCAACGGATCTCGAGATTGGCGAAATATACGTGTTTGTATCTCCGCCTGGTTCGCGGCGACTACTTATGTGTTATGGTATTGTTGTCGACTATTTGGATAATCTATTCTAGACTGATCCTTCATTCATGAAGTATTTCCGGTCCGTCTTCGCCTCATTGTGCGCTAGATAGTGCCTGAGAACTTTTGGCCGTTCGCTGGAACTGTGGAAACTCATCGCCTCCTCCAAACTGGAATTTTCAATCACGCTCTTTCCAACTCGATTACCTCAGACGCTATGATAAATTTCCCAAACCAGGAAAGTTGTGTTGTTTAGATAAATACCTGTGGCCCCCTCACTCTTTTTCACGAGTCGATTCTGTGCACCCTCAACTTCCGGTACGAATACTATTGCGCCTCGCTATGACTACCTCCGACTCTATATCGGATTCTGGGAAAGTTTCCGATTCTCCCGACATCTCTGTCATACCGCTCGATGATAGAGGGACTCGCCCGCGCTCCGTTGGCTTCTCCAGCGTTCATCCAGCTGTGCAGGGTCATGCCAACCGCGCCGGAGGGGTCGACCCGAAGCACAATCTCACCGCCTCAGAGAAGCCTCCCTCCATTGTGGGTAAGACGGCGCAAAAGTCCAAGAGCCATTCAAAGGGCTCTAAAGCGCGAAATGAGGACTTCGAGGCGGCCGTTATCTTCGAGCACAAACTCACGTTTGACGCTGTCGCTACAGAGCTCCAGACTTCTCTAGACGCGAAAGAGCCGGCCAAGTCCTTCGGGCTCACCGAGGACGAGGCGGGAAAGCGTCTTCTGAGAGATGGAAAGAATGTGCTGACTCCTCAAAAGAGAAAAAGCGCCTTGCGCAAGGTAGCCATCTACATCTCTCGTTCGCACACCCGCTCATCGAATTTTAGTACCTGGAATGTCTTTTCACGATGTATGCTCCTTTACCATCACCTTTGTCGGGATTTAGGCTGACCGACTGTATAGGTTCAATATCCTACTCATTATTTCTGGTATCCTGGTGTACGTGCTTCTCGGAATCGACTTCAAGGTAGGTCGTTAAGTCGCTGGGGTCGTGTGCCAAGCCCCGACACATTTGTACCCAAGGACAACATACAGAACACCTATCTCGGTGGCATTTTGATCGGAGTGGCGTTTCTCAACGCATTCATATGGTTCTATCAGCTCCAGAAGGTCGGCAGTCGCTGTTGCCAATTTAATCATTGTTGTCTGACGAGTCACGACTGACTGCCGCAGAGTGCAGCCATCCTTGACTCCTTCCTTGCCATGATACCTCCTACGTGTCGCGTCATGCGTGAAGGTAGTCTTCGTACCATCCCAGCGAGTGAATTAGTCAAGGGAGATATTGTTCTTATCGTAAGTCTTTTTTTTTCGTCGGTAGAGGGCAGCCACCTCATAGACGCGTAGCGTTTGGGAGACAAAACACCCGCAGATCTTTATCTTTTCTCTTCAACGGAGCTGCTAGTCGACAATAGCAGTCTCACGGGTGAGTCAGAACCTCAGGAACGTCGAGCAAATCAAAATGGTTCGACTGCTCTTGCGGTCGATGCGGAGAACCTCGTAAATATTTTTACTGTTGCAATCGTGCAGCTTGATTGTTAACCCATTGTCGTGACAGGTGTTCAACTCAACGCTTATCGTTAGCGGCGAAGGGTGGGGTGGTAAGAACCGTTTCTGTTAAGAACCGGTGTAGCGGCCTACTAATCGTTTAATATATGTAGTTGTGGTTCACACTGGAGACAACACGATGATTGGTAAGTTATTTAAACGATGAATGCACCCGCCGTCATGACCTTGAAATTTCGATCCAGGACAAATTGCGGCACTAACTGGTGGTGAGAGCTCCATGAAGAGTCCTCTTGATGTCGAGATGCAAGTGAACCCCATAGCATACAGGGGAATGTGCTAATCTTGGGAAACAGTGGACACTTCGTCATTTTCATGTCAAGCGTCGCCGTGACATTCGCCGTTGTCTTCTTCGTTGTTGGATTGACTTCGGTGTATAAGGGACAGGTCTCCGCGACAGTAGTCTTTGCTGTCTCCGTCCTCACTGCCTTTATCCCTCAAGGCTTGCCTTCTGTCGTCACGCTCTTGTATGTTCCTTACTACTGTTGAATGGTTCTCATGGGACTAAGTCAATGTCGGCCTTACAGACTCTCAATCGCCGCTAAACGTATGGCTAATCAAAATGTTCTAGTAAAGGACCTACAAGGTGTAGAGACCCTAGGTACGATATCGAATAATCAGTTGGAGAAAGTATCTAACTGATATGAGTAGGGTCACTTACGCTGTTGGCTACCGACAAAACTGGAACATTGACACGTAACCAAATGACGGTCACCAACATATGGAGCGGAGAGATACTGTACAGCGCTCATCACGTACGCAATCAACAGTAATCCGCTATTAGAACTAACGAAATCTCTGCAGTCCAAAGATGATGATCCAGACACGACCCCCTTCGACATTGAGGAGCACCACTTGCAGAAACTTGTTGACGCAGCTACTGCAAATTCCTTCATTAAGTTTGATCATCTTGATGTTCCAATGTCTCAGCGGATGATCCTTGGTGATGCGACTGAGACTGGACTCGCACGTTTCGTCGGCAAGTGTGTATCAGATTATGATGCTCATAAACAGAAATATAAACGGGTGTTCGAAATCCCCTTCGACTCTGCCAATAAATGGGCACTTGTCATCGTGCGTAGTACTGTGCACATTAGAGTTCTGGTTTTCATCCACTCAACTAGGTTAACAAACCTCATGAAGATGGACAATTCACAACATATATTAAAGGCGCCCCGGAACGAGTGTTTGAAAAGTGTTCTACGTACTTGAAGGATGGAAAGCTCGAGCCGATTTCAGATGAGTTTAAACGCGCCTATGAAAGAGCTTATGACGTTTGTTTTCTTTTATCCTCGTTTAAAACATCTTCTAATCATTCAACAGTATATGGCCTCAAGAGGACACCGGGTTCTGGCCTTCGCCCAGTCTCTTCTCCCCGGGGAACGCTTTCCGGTAGACTACGCATTTTCAAAGGCCGATTATCCGTCTATGGGCTATTGCTTCATTGGTCTTACCTCACTGGAAGACCCTCCGAAGCGTGGTGTTCGCGAAGCAATTGGCAAACTCCGCTTGGCCGGCATTAAGGTCATGATGGTTACAGGTCAGTTTCTCGAGATTGACAATTAACCTGGTAATTTTTTCTTAAGAAATGAAACGCAGGTGACCATCCAAAGACTGCTGAGGCTATTGCGCGCAAAATCAATCTGATTATCGAAGACACAAGAGAGTCACTCAGCGCCAAGACTGGAAGACATGTCGAGGATATCTATGAGGACGAAGTTCAAGCGGTCATTGTACATGGTGACGATATCGACAAACTACAGGATTGGCAATGGGACAATAGTATGACCGTTGTCTGCCCTCTTTTCTCACGCATATGTAACACGTGTGGCATTCTTCAGTTCTCAACAAACAGGAAATCGTCTTTGCGCGTACTTCCCCTCAACACAAACTTGAAATTGGTTTAGTATTCTCGTTTATCATTGTTTTTAATAAGGACACTGATTCGTGGGTGCTGTTGTAGTCAAGCATGCACAGGCCCTCGGTCACATTGTCGGCGTGTAAGTTACAGATCTCATCATCTAACGCGTCACCTTAACACGTTCTGTATTTTGTAGCACTGGAGACGGTGTCAACGACTCTCCAGCATTGAAGAAAGCTGATCTGGGTATAGCAATGAATATTTCCGGCTCTGATGTGTCAAAGGAAGCAGCTAATATGATTCTTATGGGTGCGTATATTACAGTTCCTATTTACCAGCGTTCCGACTCTAACTTCACTACAAATCGCTTCAGACGACAATTTCGCGTCTACTGTCGGTTCGTGCATGTGAAATTAGTCTCTTAATCCTGTTTAACAGACCAACTATTTTAGTGGGAGTTCGCGAAGGACGTCACATATTCGCGAACTTAAAACGTTCCATACAGTAAGTATTTGCGTCGCTAATTAAAAAGGTTGGATATAACCTCTCAAACTATATTAGGTATACGCTTTCTCACCTAATGCCAGAAATTATACCGCAGCTTCTTTACGTTGTTATCCCGATCCCTATTCCTCTGTCCGCAATGTTGATTTTACTTATTGGTGAGGGACACTGATTCCAAATCTACTTGTGTCTTTAACGTTGTTTCATTAGATTTGGGCTATGAGATATTTGCCGGAGTATGTTTTAATCCAGTCAGATAGGAACGTACTTTGAATGTTGTTTTGTTTTAAGCTTTCTTTTGCGTGGGACCCGCCAGAAACAGTAGACGGAGTTATGCGAATGCCACCTCGGAAACCCGGTGAGTACCCTTTTCTCTTTCCACCGTCCAATGACTCACAGTCCTTGATATTATTTATAGTCACTGAGCGGTCTATACGGCGTATCAAGAAGCGTGCTCTTCAGCAGGCAATGAGGCTCCGTCGTGACGCTGAGACTCAGGAAGTCCTTCAATCTGGGAGGTTGGCTAAGATCGCGGAAAAGGCGAAAATTGCATTTACCGCTGAGTTTTGGGAAAGTCTTTTCGGACGGACTGATGACGAGACGCTTGTAAATTGGAAAGTTTTGAGCTATTCGTACCTTGAAGTTGGAATTATCGAGTCAATTGGATCGTACGTCTTTTTAAGTCCTTTTTTTTTTACTTTTCAACTTTATGTCACTCAATATCTATACACTCACGGATTGATTTTAGAACGACTGCTTATTTTGTTGTGTTCTTGAGAAGCGGTTTCACGCCCAAAGACCTACAGAGAGCCCAGGAAGCGTCCGGAAATGGTATAACCTACTTTAAAGATGATTCACCTGACTTTATCAATCATGCGGGTCGAGCTATCCCTGCGTCCGAACAAGTTATTGCTCTCGCAAAAGCTCAATCCATTCGTATGCTCGTTTCCATTCTTCGCGTTTTTTTCTCTTTTACTCACGTGGGCATTTCTGTAGTCTACCTGTCGATTTTCATGATGCAATGCTTCAATGTATGCCACTGACGTTCCGAACTGATTATCGAATTTACTAATCGCTATTAAATTTCATAGATCTTCGCTGTCAAGGCCAAATTCAAATTCCCCTTCGGCAAGCGAGTTGTCAGCAACCCTTACAACTTTGCGGGTATTCTCGGTGGAGCTTGCGTCGCGATGTTCGTTGTGTACACTCCACCGTTGCACGTCGTATTTGGTGGAACATATCATTTGTCTCCGCTATATTGGCTTATTCCGATTGGGTTTGGAACATTGATTCTTGCATGGGCTTCTTTACGTGTCGTATTAATGCGCAAGGCGCTCGAGAGATCAAAGGTGAAGGATATCAAGGGCTTGATTATGTGTAAGTCTTTGTCGCTGGATCGTCTGACTCGTTATATTTATGTGATGCTAATGGTTTTTTCGTTAGTCCCGACAATGACAACGATGAGCGTGCGTTCTCGAAACAAATGATGCGACTTTCCATGAGGTCAAAGGCAAAATTACGGTGGAAGGATAGTCTTCGTTTATACGTTTCAGACATGATCAAGTTTTCATTTGACGTTCATTTGTAAATATTTTTTGATATTGCGCTTACACTTTGAGACTTTGACATTCTGACGTCTGGTCTTCGGACAAGGGTGGGTAGGAGTGTCTCTGGTTACATAATTCAAGTTCTTATTCAACCTTCGTACATAAATACCATGCTTTTGGCATTGCATTGATGAAGTAAAGCTTTTCCCCTAACATTTCGATGACTGCGTTTGCAGTATCTGTAAGCGGTCTCTCCTAATTTGTTATCATCACTTCTTACATAATGTCAGCTGAACCATTCCTCCTCGTCACTCCTGATGGAACTAACTCTGAGCAAACACTGTGGACCCTCTGAAGCTCGCCACCCGAAACAAGATGCTTGGTCTGCCCTGACAGGGGCTTAAGGATGGTGTGTCTCATCACAAGTAAACTCACATCATTTGCTCGTCTCAATTCCGGGCCTCCAGCAGAATTAGATTACCATCCAGCCTTGATCTTTTTACATGGATTTGTTTAGCACGTTGGTAAGTGTTCGCCTCCCTTGAAGCTCAACATTTAACAGGTTTCCGCCAGGTATCTTTTCGCGAGTTACTGCCACTAGCTAGGAAATAAAATACGCAAATTGACCTTCTTAATTGGTGCAACTATCCCGGGTCCGTTAATTTTGCTCAGGGAGGAAAAGCTGCGCTCGATTGCCTCGGTTACCCCAACTTCGGAAAGTTAGGTAGCCGTTCTAAGCGTTATATGAACCTAGTGGCGGAACAGCTCTTGATTTCCTCACCAAAGTTCATAAAGGATAAGAGCATAAATTTTAAAGGAGAACTTGTTGTTGCCGGACAGTCTTCGGGCACGAACTGGGTCAGTATGCTTCTTGCAATGCTCTAAGCCATTCAGCTGCACATTGTCACGTTTAACAAACTTGTGATATACAGTTGCGTTGGGGCTTGAAAACTCTAAAAATCACGATAGTGCTCACTCACGCACTCACGTATATATATTCACCTTGCTATGTACTGGGTCATACTCTGACAGCCAGTAATTGCTATATCCTTTGACGATACACTCTCTTGCCCTTTATATATATACGTAATATGGAGGTAAGGGTTTTTGCTCGTGGGTTTCTAGGTGCTATGCATACAGCGACCCGATCTCGAAACTCGAGCAGTATGCACCACTACCTAATCACAGTACAGTACGACGCATCAGGAAAAAGTCGTATTTCTTATAATATATTGTAGACTTTGTAAAGTAACATAAGTATTGTATGTATATTGTAAAGTAATTACAAGACTTGCAAATCAATTGTAAAGTTTGTATAAGACATGTTAATGTATATAAAGGCCAAGTAAGTGTTATGGATGAATACAATCTATTACAAGTATTATACTAACTTTGTATGATAGTCTAAAGTATTATGCTTGCATTACATTTTTATTATAATTTCAAAGAAAGAATTATATTTATAATATAATAATGTAACAATAATTATTGTTGCCTTATAATTTATGTAAAAGGTATATTAATGTATATAATAGTGTAAGAGCACTTGTTAAATCATTATTATCTTAATAAAAGTATACTATAAGTATATAATAGGTATATTATACTTAGACTATTTATACAAATAGTTTACAATATTTGTAAAAAATATTTCATCTACTTGTAATAATCACATCAGTGTGTTTAGAAAGCTATATACATGTCATATTACTTTTTACTATATTACAAAGTAGATCAATAATTTTATTTTATACCTAAATACAATAATTGAATTGAAATGTTCTTATCAGTTGACAACTAATATTATAGTTGCTTATGTAATCAACTGCTGAAGATTGAGAGCATATAATAATGCATTTCTCTTTGTCACTCCTTTACATCCTACCTTCACTATCTCCCCAACCCTCTGCCCCTAACACTATATTGTTGCTTCTGTTCTCTGAGTCTAGTCAAGTCCTCCACTCACAAGTGTCCTACTAGCAGGCACTCTGTCTACTACAACATAGGCAATAAACATTACTGTACTTGTCTCTCCAATCTGCTGTTGTAATGCCTACACTGAGTCTCAGATCCTACACTAATGCTACTGAGCTGACTACACTGTCCTTCAATATAAAGTGTAAGCAGCCAGTCCCTTCATAATAGCCTGTACAATAGTTGCTCATCCCTCTCCTCCCAACTTTTTGTCTCCCTTCTATCCCTTCTGCTCCTTGCTCTGCCTCTTACTCTGCCTCTCCTTCATTATCCTCCTTTTTTCACATTCCTCTTCCTTTTTGCATTTGCATTCGTGCTTCTGTATTGTTGACTAATACTGAATGACTTCTTTAATAATTCCATGTATTTACATTCTTCTTCCTACTGAGAGGCAAGGTTTTGGTGGGCTTGTTCCCTCTAGTGTCATTGTGGGCTCTGGTCAAATCTCTCCTTTCATTCCAAATAGGAAAGAACTAACTACATAAAGAAAGTGATTATGTAATCCAACAAATTAAATAAAATCAAGAAGATCTGATAGTAACCAAAATCAGAACTCTTCACTACTCTGTAGCACAAGCAACAATTGACAAGCACATACAAGCATGCTTGTAACAATGTCCATGTTGGATCACTCCCAAGGTACAATCCTCTCTCTGACCCTGTGTGTACTCTCCTTCCCTACCCTACCATTCTATGCTTGACATTCTTAATAGACTCACACTGTATACCTTTACATTCCCTAGTACTGTCCATGACACCATTTTGAATAACAGAAGCAGTAGCCACTACTCACCCCTTCTGAGCTGAGTCTGTCCACACCTTGCACATTGCCTTCTCCCTTCAAGCCAGAACGTCCCAGAGATACACCTTGTAATTAATGACTCAGTTTACTACACCTTCTATTAGACACTATAGATAGACAATAGAGTATATACACACAGACATGATTTTGTCTGTAGTCTGAACCTGCTTGTTCAACACTTCAGATCTTGATCTGTATACACTACTCTATTAGGAAAAAGTCTAAATTCTTGTACTACCTTATAATAGTATAAAATAAGTGAAAAAAGTAAAAAAAGTAAAAATACTTGGAACAGATCTCAGTTTCTGAGAAAGTACTACAATTCATTATAAAGTCTGAAAGGTTTGTATAGTTTGTAAACATAAATAAGAGTTATTCTCCTTAGCAATATATAAAATGTATTACAATAGATCTCTAAAATTATAAGGTTAAATCACTCTTGTTAATTATGGCAAATATTATAATTGTTTATAAAGCTCTTAAATCATTTTAATATCTTAATAATAGTTATTTTCCCTTATATCTGTTTGTTATTTAAATACTAGTTTATAATTATATTGAAACATTATATAAATACATTATAATCTACAACAATTAGGGGTGAGACAGGTTGTGAGATTGATTAGCTAAGAGTGTGAGTGTGAGTATTGTTAGTGTGAGTAGGTAACTGGATTGAGGAGATGGATGCACTACAATAGTATGTAGCAAGTGAGTAGTACACTAGAGAGTATTGAATGAGCTAATTTGAGCTGTAGGCAAAGCTGTATCTGTACATACACACTGTATACTCTGACTAAGTCTTACAATCAGAGGTGTAGTAAACTGAACCATTGACTGAGAGGTGTATTCCTAGAGTATTCTGGCCTAAAGAGAGAGCTACACCTGTGGGACAGGTTTAGATTAGTAAGTAGTAACAAGTAAGAAAAGATGGATACACTGTGACAGTGTACAGTGAGTGTGAGTAGTATATACAGATTGAGATTCAGAGTGTTGAACAAGCAGGTTCAGACTGTAGACAAAATTGTGTCTGTATGTATGTACTCTATTGTTTATCTACAGTGTCTAATAGAAGGTGTAGTAAACTGAGTCATTAATTGTAAGGTGTATCTCTAGAACATTCTAGCTTGAATGGAGAAGGCAATGTGTAAGGTGTGGACAGACTCAGCTCAGGAGGGGTGAGTAGTAGTTACTACTTCTATTATTCAAAATAGTGTTATGAACAGTACTAGGGAATGTAAAGGTACACAGTGTGAGTCTATCAAGGATGTCAAGTATAGAATAGTAGGTAGGGAAGGAGAGTATGTATAGGGTTGGAGAGAGGATTGTACCTTGAGAGTGATCTAACATGGACATTGTTGTGAGTGTGCTTGTATGTGCTTGTCAATTGTTGCTTGTACTACAGAGTAGGAAGAAGAACATGAATACATAGAATGATTAAAGAAGTTGTTCAGCATTAGTCAACAATGTGAAAGTGTGAATACAAATGTAAAAAGGAAGAGGAATGTGAAAAAAAGGAGGACAATGAAGGAGAGGCAGAGTAAGAGGCA